GCCTCGCAGTGCCTGTGCCACCTGTGGGTTCAGGTGTCCTCAGGCCCATCCTCGCTTCCCCAGCACTTCAGCTAGGGCCAAGGTCAGCTCCCAGGGCCCAGGACTAGCTCTGCCACTCTTGAGGACAGGTTAAAAACACCAAAGGCCACACTGGAGAGGAAGGCCCCATGCAGCTTTTCTGTCACCTTGGTGATGAGCCACCAGGCAGAACCCATTAAGTGCTAATATTGCTGTTTATGGGTATAAATTGCTTAGAAGCTACATTTTGCAGAGGGTCTAATAGGCAATGAGGAGCAGCTGCAGGCATGGACATTAGTTTGGATTGCTGAGTTCATTAGAGTTTCTGGCCCCTTCCCATGGCTTCCAAATGCCCAGCTCCTGCATAGAGCATGTCTCAGCAGTTTCTACAGAACATGGCTCCCGGGAGCAAGAGGACACTGTCCCTGGCTGCCAGAGCAAGGAGCTTAATGCCAGAGGCAGAGAGACAAGAGATGCAGCTGGGGGGAGCCTGCCAGCAGAAACTAACCGGACTGCTCGTCCCCGTGGACCAGCCTCTACAGACCAGAAGGAAAGGTCACAGTCCACCAAGCAGTGAGGAACCCAGCCTTTGGGGTAAAAGGATGTGGACTCAGTCTCCAGCCCACCACGAGCCAGTGCAGCCAGCCAACATCCCTCTGCCCATCTGAAGATGGAGACGCTCTGGTCCACCTCCTGCAGTCAGGAAGGTCACACAAGGAATGTCTATCATGCACCTGGCTCAGTGAAAGACTTAATGTCATTGTCATAATATCGGAAGACACTGGGCCTGGGAAACTAAGCTTATTTAGGTCTTGCTTTCAGCAGCCCACACTTTCTGGTCAAATCTTGTCACTTCGGCTTTGCTCGTTTTCTGAAAATTAGAAAAAATGGATGTGTCACTTTATCTGATCAGTGACTTCCATGGTAATCCCCTATTGGCTTCAAATTAGGTCATTTTCATGTAAAACCTGGTCTGGCAGCTTTAAGTACTATGTGGATAAACAGAAACAAAGCCCCACCTGGGCTTGGTCAGATTCTGTCCACAAGAAGCCATATTTTGACTTCGAACCCTATTAACCTGCCTGTGTCTGTCTGATTGAGGTTTGGGTGAGTACAAGTCGCTGCGCTCCCAAGCTGCCCACAAAAGGGCATGGAAGCTCCCGCAGCCATGCTCTGCCACCACCCAGGCGGACTCTAATGAGATCATCTGACGGCAGCAGCCTGCGCTGCCTTGCAGACATGGTCCTAACCCATTGGGTTTTGTATGTGAGCAGCCCCTTCACCCGCTAGTGCTCTTCCCTTGACTTGTGCCAGAAGAGCAACACCAGGGACTGGGGGCACTGGGGACCAAGACCCGGCTTTTCTTCAGTGGCCACAGGCAAGTCTAGGAGCCTGAGTGGGTTTGGCCTCCTCTCAGTAACCTGGGAGAGGTTGACTCTGTACCCCCTCAAGAGCCTTTCCAGTTCCAAGCTACTGCTTCTTTCATTTAAAACATAACAGAACACATGAAGAAGGCTGGACGCGGTAGCTCACACCTGTAATTCCAGCACTTTAGGAGGCCAAGGCGGATCACCTGAGGTCAGGTGTTCAAGACCAGCCTAGACAACATAACATGGCAAAACGCTGTCTCTACTAAAAACACAAAAATTAGCTGGGTGTGGTGGCGCACACCTGTAATCTCAGCTACTCGGGAGGCTGAGGCAGGAGAATAGCTTGAACCCGGGAGGTGGAGGTTGCAGTGAGCTGAGTGCCACTGCATTCCAGCCTGGGTGACAAAGTGAGACTCTGTCTCCAAAAAAAACCATTAATAACAAAACAAGAAGAAAAGGCCGGGCAGGGTGGCTCACGCCTGTAATCCCAGCACTTTGGGAGGCCAAGGCAGGAGTATCACCTGAGGTCAGGAGTTCAAGACCAACCTGGCCAACATGGGGACACCCCGTCTCAACTAAAAATACAAAAAAAAAATTAGCTGGGCGTGGTGGCGGGCACCTGTAATCCCAGCTTTCAGGAGGCTGAGGCAGGAGAATTGCTTGAATCCGGGAAGCGGGGGTTGCAGTGAGCCAAGATCGAGCCATTGCCCTCCAGCCTGAACGAAACCCTGTCTCAAAAAAAAAACAAAGAAAAAAAAATCATCAAGAAAGGAGTATGTGAAGAGACTGGGAACTTTTTTTGTCAGGAGGAGAGTCTGTCATTTGCTAGTGGGCACCAGCTTGACTGGAGACATTTGATCTAGATTTGGTTATGAAATTCACTTGCAAATCCCAGGTTTTCCAGGACAAAGAGTGAGTGTACGTAACTCTCATCCTTCCCTCGGCTATGAGGAGCCATCTTCTTAGGGAGTTGTGACTTGGAGAAACATAAATGGGTCACTATAAATTATGTCAATGAAAACTGACAAAACCATATCAAAAGTTCTTGAGGGCTTTTGATATGAATTGTTTTTGTAAGGGACAGAGTTTTAAAATTGTGTCTTTCAAGGCTGGGTGCCGTGGCTCATGCCTGTAATCCCAGCACTTTGGGAGGCTGAGGTGGGCGGACCACCTGAGGTCGGAAGTTCGAGACCAGCCTGACCAACATGGACAAACCCTGTTTCTACTTTTTTTTTTTTTTTGAGACGGAGTCTCGCTCTGTCACCCAGGCTGGAGTGCAGTGGCCGGATCTCAGCTCACTGCAAGCTCCGCCTCCTGGGTTCACGCCATTCTCCTGCCTCAGCCTCCCTAGTAGCTGGGACTACAGGCACCGCCACCTCGCCCGGCTAGTTTTTTGTATTTTTTAGTAGAGACGGGGTTTCACTGTGTTAGCCAGGATGGTCTCGATCTCCTGACCTCATGATCCACCCATCTCGGCCTCCCAAAGTGCTGGGATTACAGGCTTGAGCCACCACACCCGGCCCCCTGTTTCTACTTAAAAAAAAAAAAAAAAAAAAAAAAAAAAATTAGCCGGGCATGATGGCGCACGCCTGTAATCCCAGCTACTCGGGAGGCTGAGGCAGGAGAATCACTTGAACCCGGAAGTTGGAGGTTGTGGTGAGCTGAGATCACACCATTGCACTAGTCGGAGGTTGTGGTGAGCTGAGATCACACCATTGCACTAGTCGGAGGTTGTGGTGAGCTGAGATCACACCATTGCACTAGTCGGAGGTTGTGGTGGCCCCAGATCCACACCACATTGCACTCCAGCCTGGACAACAAGGTCGAGAGACGCTGTCTCAAGAACAACAACAACAAAATTGCACTAGTCGGAGGTTGTGGTGAGCTGAGATCACACCATTGCACTCCAGCCTGGACAACAAGGTCGAAACGCTGTCTCAAAGAACAACAACAACAAAAAATTTTAAAAAAAAATAAAATTGCATATTTAAGCACAAAATCAGGACCTTAGGAAAAAACTGCTTCGTCAAGTTGATACACTTTTTCCCCAAAAGTTTAAAATATTGGCTCGCAGGAAAGTGTTGCAATGAGAACCGATGGTGAGGTCACACTAGAAAGAGAGCACCCCTCAGGAGGAACGGAAAAGCTCGATAGCTGATTAGAAAACGGTCACTTACTCTTTTCTTTTTTTTTTTTTTTAAACCACACATACACAAGCCTTCCAATAAGTCTAGGCCTCAGAGTTTGATGACTCACTACCACCTCCAGAAAAAATTTAAAAATTTAACCATCACTACTTAAAACTCTAGCAAAGCCACACACACACATTAAGTAAACCGAGGAAAGAACGGCAAGTGGGCCACAGAAGGCTCTCCCTGCGGGGATAAGGCTGTTAATCTGTCGACATAACGGGATTCTTTTAGAAGTAAAAGGCATAAATCTGCGTAACCAGCACCACCTTTTTTTTTTTTTTTTGCCAAGCTTAATCAAGAAAGAGGGAAGGGAGTTGCGTGTCCCTTCACTTTGTAGGATCGGATCCTGTCCACCCTGTTTCCGAATGCTCTCAACAGTTACCCAACCGCCTGTTTCAAGGGCTTCCCTGTTGCTCAGAATGCCACCTGGACACTTCTGGAAGGAAACTATCAGGGAGATAAGCTTCCCCTCCTCCCGGGCTGTGTACAGGTCCCCACTCGATCCAGCCCCGGGCAGAGTCCAAACGGCGAGGGAGAGGTGCAGACAGGGTCAAAGGGACCCCAAGAGCCCAGCACATCTGGGAAGGAGAAAAAGTGCCGCGGCATCCTGCAGCTGGGGCGCACGCCGGCGCGCCCCCTTTCCTCCGGGAGGACCCCCGACCCCCGTTCGTCCCCGAGCTCCCAGCCCGCCGCCGGGAGATCCACTCCGGGAGAGGAAAAACGTGCGCGGAACCCCCAGCAGCTCCAAACGCCGAGGCGCCCCCCGCGAGCCTCAGACCCGACCCAACCCTAGGACTCGCGCCGCCGGCCCGCGAGGAAACCCCCACGGCCCGCGCCCCGGGCAGGCTGGAGGGTGGGGGCGGCTGGCCAGGCAGGGCGCCCAGGCCCGGGCTCCGGGAGCGGCCCGGCGGGCAGGGGAGACCGGGCTCGCAGGCCGGGTTTGGGGGTGTCCAGGCCGGGGCGGAGGGCCCCTCTGTGGGAACAAGGAGTTGGGGGGCGGCCCGGGCCTGGCGCCCTTCGCGGGGAGGCCGACTCCGGAGCGGCCCGGGCGGTCTGGGTCTGGGCCGGGGGAGGGGCCCGCAGGCCGCACCTGGTCGGCGAAGTCCTCAGCCGTGCCCATCAGGTCGTTCTGGCCCATGGCGACGGCGGGAGGCTCGGCTCGGCTCCGCTCGCTCGCTCGCTGGCCCTCGACCGTCGGCGCCCGCGCCCGCTGCGGCCTCCACAGGAAGTGCCCGGCGGCCGGCCTCGCTCCGCGTCGGCTGCGGCTCCAGCGGCTGCCACGTAGGCCAAGCCTTAAAGGGGCCGCGCACCGCCCGGATCCGCCCCGGCGCGTCTTAAAGGGGCCATGCACCGTCCCCAGCCTCGCGACCGGTCCGCTCGAAGCCACCCCCGCCGCGCTCGACGCCACGCCTCTCACGCTGGAGGCCCCGCCCACCGCGCGCAGGCCCTGCGGCACCTCCCGGCCCGGCTGAACGCGTCCCCTTTAAGGGGGCAGGCCTGGGGGGTCTGGGGCCGGCGTGCGGGAGGGACGCTTGGATGCCTCGAGGACGCCGTTCGGGCCGGGAGGGTCCCGCGGGTCCCACTGACCCACACGGGGTGGGGTCAGGGGCGGACGATCGCCCGTACGCGGTAGCTACTGAACATGCTTGGGCCAGAGGCCGATGGCAGGCGCCCCACGCAGGGGGAGCGAGGCCCAGGGTACCCCGGAGAGCCCATGGACAAGTACCAGGTGCCGAGTGTTCCCTGCGGGGAGGCGGGGGCTCCGTGGGGTAACGGTCGCCAACCCTGGAGCTGCGGCCGGCGGTTCCGACCGAGGGCGGCGAGGGACCCGCGCCCTAGTCAGTGTTGGCCTCCAGCTCCTAGGTTGAACCCGGGGGTCCTCCCACGGTGACCTCCTGGGTGCCCTTTGCCACTCAGTTTCCCCCTTTGTGAATTGACTAAGGATTCTCCAGCCCTGGCTGAGTATTTGAGGGCGTGGGGCAGCTCCTCTATCCTTTGTGCCCGGGGTCTGGGCGCTTGGGTCCACCAAGGCAGGACCCCCGGGAACATCCCGAGTACGTAATTGGGAGCCCCCAGTCCCCTAAAAACACCCCTGCAGCGTGGGTCTTTGAAAATATTTGAGACCTAAAAAATTTACAAAACACAAAAGGAAAGCTGCAAAATAAAAGTGAATGTTTAATTAAATGCTTCTATACATGATATGTAAACTTTATTAGATTCAGCATTTGTGAAAACCGCATTCGCTTGGAAACAGTTTGCGGATTAGATTTTTGTCACTTGGGAAGAATTGTCTTTGTGTGAGAGGACTATAGGGCGTTGCCAGCGGTGACGCAGATGAGCTTCTGGTGGCCAGATAATTTTTAAAATAAAGTTACTTTTCAGAGAAAAAAAAAAAATAGACCTTTCAGGAATATACCTGCTTTTGGAAAAAAAAATAGACTTGATCCGATATGGGTCCATTTTGCTGTTTAATTTGCTGCCTGAGCCTGAACGCTCTCACACCAGCTCTGCCCTCAGCCCCCTGTGGCTTAGAACAGCAGTCCCTGGCCAGGCTCGGTGGGTCACGCCTGTAATCCCAGCACTTTGGGAGGCCATGGCTGGTGGATCACCTGAGGTTGGGAGTTTGAGACCAGCCTGACCAACATGGAGAAACCCCGTCTCTACTGAAAATACAAAATTAGCCAGGCATGGTGGCGCATGCCTGTAATCCCAGCCACTCGGGTGGCTGAGGCAGGAGAATTGCTTGAACCCAGGAGGCAGAGGTTGTGGGGAGCCGAGATAGCCCCATTGCACTCCAGCCTGGGCCACAAGAGCAAAACTCTCTCTCAGAAACAAAACACAACACAACAAAACAAAAAAAACCAGCAGTCCCCAACTTTTTTGGCACGAGGGACCAGTTTTGTGGAAGACAATTTTTCCACAGACGGAGGCGGGAGGATGGTTTTGGGATGATTCAAGCACATTACACTTAGTGTGCAGTTCATTTCTATTATTATATTGTAATACATAATGAAATAATTACACAACTCACCATCATGTAGAATCAGTGGGAGCCCTGAGCTTGTTTTCTTGCAACTAGACGATCCTCTCTGGGAATGATAGGAGACAGTGACAGATCATCAGGCATTTGATTCTCATAAGGAGTGTGCAGCCTGGATCCCTCACGTGCACTGTTCACAATAGGGTTCACACTCCTATGAGAATCTAACGCTGCTGCTAAACTGACAGGAGGCGGAGCTTGCGTGGTAATGCGAGCCATGGGGAGCAGCTGTAAATACAGATGAAGCTTTGCTCCACTGCCTGCTGCTCACCTCCTGCTGTGCAGCCTGGTTCCTAAACAGGTCACAGACTAGGTTGGGGACCCCAGCTTAGAATATCCAGCAGGCTGCTCACAAGGCTGGATTACAGACTCCTAAATCTTTTATAGGCTCTGAGAGTCCCTAGGCTCAGGCTTCCATCCTCATATCTCCTCCTCTGGATCCTTCCCGCCCTCCCACAATCCTCGGATGCATGTTAGCCTCCAGCAATCTCCCGCCCGGTCCCCTGCCCCATAGCACTTGGTCTCTGCACAGAGTTCTGACTTGGTGGCCATCTCTCTGCAACTTTGTCTCAAATCACAGGCTCTAAGGTCAGACCCCCAGAGTTACCCCAGGCAGTGTCCTGCTTTCTAGTGACATAGCCTCAGGCAAGGACCTAGTTCCTTGTGCCTCAGTTTTCCCCAATGTAAACACAGAGTAGCAATGGTGTCCACTGCATAGGGTGCCCGTGAAGTGCTTGGCACCATGCCAGGCACACAATGGCTTCCTGATTGTACCAGCCACAAGACCGGTTACTTTCTTGTTTGAAGCCAGTTTGGAGGTGGATGCTGGAAGCTGAGGTCCCAGGGGTCTACAGAGAGTGAATAAGCCCTTTTCCTCTGGGAGGTTCTTGCTCTTGAGTGCCCAGCCGGTCCTCATTGCAGTTTGGGGGAGGGATACAGGGTTGTAGAAGAAAGAGCTCCAGAATCGGCCCCAAATAGGTGAGATCAGAGTCCTGCCATTGAAAGGCTTCTTGCCCTCCTTGGGCCATTTCCTCTATTGCAAGATGGGGTGGAGCCACTTGCTCTGCCAGCCTGAAAGGGGAGTTACCAGGGCCAGAAAAGGAGTTGGAGCTGGGCTTCTGGAAAGGGATAAGTTGTGTGCATTTCCTGAAAGCTTTTCTCTTCCTTGCTGGTAGGTTTTGTACCAGCTGAATCCTGGGGCCTTGGGGGTGAACCTGGTGGTGGAGGAAATGGAAACCAAAGTCAAGCGTGTGATAAAGCAGGTAAGAGGCCAAGCCTGTGCATCCCACGCCAGGTGGTTCTGTGGCTGTGATTTTCTCCAACACAAGCTCTTCCCATGTTGGAGAAGCTTCCTGATGCGGCAGCTAAATTCCTCGCTGCCAGCACTCACAGAGACAAATCTGGTTGGGGTAGACGTGGGGGTGCGTGAAGCTCTGTCACCTTGATGGGGAAGCAATGCTAATTTTTACTCCATCACCACCACCTCCTACCATTTACACATCACGTGCTGTATGCCAGGCACCGACTCACTTCATCTCCCGTCAACCCTGTAAAGCAGAAACAATGACCCTGTTTATAGCCAAAGACAGTGAGGCTCAAGGCAGCGCCAGACTAGCCAAGGTCACACAATTTCCCAGAGGGTTTGAATTCAGGCCACCTCATTGGGGGACACCGTGCTACCCAGTGCTGGGCCACCAGTTTTACCAAAAGGGAGCCAGGCCCAGAGAGGATGGGGACTGGCTCAAGGTCACACAGGGCTAAGGTCACACACCAGGTCCTGAGCCCTTCCACTGCACTCCTCACCAGGGCTAGCAGGGCATAGGGAGGTGTGGGCCTGCAGGAGGACAGCCCTTTGTGTATCCGAGACAGGGAGGTCCAGATCAACAGAGGGACCAGGGTGAGAGAGCTGCTGCAAGAGTCCCTGGCACGCCCTCCTCTCTGTGGTGGTGGCAGGGACCCAGCAGGTTTAAGTCTGGCTGTGCAGCAGGAGGAGCCTTGTTAGAAGCCGCTACTGGGCCAGGCCTCAGCCTGTGCAGCTGCGCAGCCTCACCCTGAATGGTTGGGCCTGGAGTCCTTGCCCCTGCCCTGCTCCCTTGCTGGCTGTCTGTGGGGTTGGCCCCCTTGTCTCACAAGCCACTGAGGCAGAGTGGCTGACTGCTCTCTGAGCAATAAAGGAGCTTTTGTGTGTGTGTGTGTGTGTGTGTGTGTTTTTCGGAGATAGAGTCTTGCCCTGTCGCCCAGGCTGGAGTGCAGTGGTGCAATCTCAGCTCACTGCAACCTCTGCCTCCCGGGTTCAAGCAATTCTCCCGCCTCGGCCTCCCGAGTAGCTGGGACCACAGGCACATGCTGCCACGCCTGGCTAATTGTATTTTAGCAGAGACAGGGTTTCACTGTGTTGCCCAGGCTGGTCTCAAACTCCTGAGCTCAGGCAATCTGCCTGCCTCAGCCTCCTAAAGTGCTGGAATTACAGGTGTGAGCCACCACACCCAGCCTGAGGAGCTTTTAAAAATGTCAGCCGTGACTAGGCATGGTGGCTCATCCCTGTAATCCCAGCACTTTGGGAGGCTGAGGCAGGTGGATCCCTTGAGGTCAGAAGTTCGAGAGCAGCCTGGCCAACATGGTGAAACCCCATCTCTACTAAAAATACAAAAATTAGCCGAGCATGGTGATGTGTGCCTGTAATCCCAGCTACTTGGGAGGCTGACGCTGAAGAATCACTTGAACCCAGGAGGCGGAGGTTGCAGTGAGTCGAGATTGCGTCACTGCCCTCCAGCTTGGGTGACAGAGCCAGACTCTGTCTGAATTAATTAATTAAATTAAAAATAAAAATATCAGCCAATTATTTCTAAATAAAAATTGGGGAAGGAGAGTGTAGGTAGGAGTTTATGGGTTCTTCCGGTCTTTTTTCCTAAGAGTTTATAAATCTTTTTGGATTTAGGAGAATGGTATTGTTAAAGTTGATAGCATGCTTTTTATATTGCAAGCATTCCCACAGCCGCCTCCTCTCCTGGCTCTGGCAGCTGTGTGGCCTCCCGTCTTGCTTGATGTGCTGTAGCTGACCCAAGCCATCCCTATCACACAGGCTGAGCATTGAGCTCGTTCTCAATTTTTCACTTTGTGTAAACAGCTCTGATAAAGATGCTTATAGCATTATGGGTTTTTGCTTTTTGTTTTTTGTTTTTTTTTTTAGCATCCATGATTTCCTTAGGAAAAATTCCTAGGAGTGAGATTTCTGGGTCATACAATGTAACGAGATGGAGTTTTGCTCTTGTTGCCTCGGCTGGAGTGCAGTGGTGTGATCTCGGTTCACTGTAACCTCTGCCTCCCGGATTCAAGTGATTCTCTTGCCTCAGCCTTCCTGAGTGGCTGGGATTACAGGCATGTGCCACCACGTCTGGCTAATTTTGTATTTTTAGTAGATGGGGTTTCTCCACTAACATGGAGAGGATGGTCAGGCTGGTCTCGAACTCCCGACCTCAGATGATCCGCCCACCTTGGCCTCCCAAAGTGCTGGGATTACAGGCGTGAGCCACCACAGCCAGCCTTTTTTTTTTTTTTTTTTTTTTGGAGACGGAGTCTCGCTTTTGTTGCCCAGGCTGGAGTGCAATGGCACGATCTCGGTTCACTGCAACCTCCATCTCCCAGGTTCAAGTGATTCTCCTGCCTCAGCCTCCTGAGTAGCTGGGATTACAGGCATGTGCCACCACACCTGGCTAATTTTGTATTTTTAGTAGAGACAAGATTTCTCCACGTTGGTCAGTCTGGTCTCAAACTCCCGACCTCAGGTGATCCGCCCGCCTCGGCCTCTCAAAGTGCTGGGATTACAGGCGTGAGCCACTGTGCCCAGCCACGATGTAGCATTTTCAAGCCTTTCTATATGTTTTGGCCAACTTCACCTCCTCATATGCCCCCTGGGACAGGAGGAAAGGAAGACAGGAGGGCTCACGCAGTGTCTTTGCCCTGGATTCCACGGGACAGTGCCACTGGCATCTCAGGTCTCTCCATAGATCTGGGAACAATTCACTAACTTTACATGATGGTCTGCAATCACCCCATTATAAGAGTACTTCAGGCCGGGTGCGGTGGCTCAAGCCTGTAATCCCAGCACTTTGGGAGGCCGAGATGGGCGGATCATGAGGTCAGGAGATCGAGACCATCCTGGCTAACACGGTGAAACCCCGTCTCTACTAAAAATACAAAAAACTAGCCGGGCGTGGTGGTGGGCGCCTGTAGTCCCAGCTACTCGGGAGGCTGAGGCAGGAGAATGGCGTGAACCCGGGAGGCGGAGCTTGCAGTGAGCTGAGATCTGGCCACTGGCACTCCAGCCTGGGCGACAGAGCGAGACTCCATCTCAAAAAAAAAAAAAAAAAAAAAAAAAGAAGAGTACTTCATTCATAAGTCTTTTGAGCAACATTCTGGGTGAAGATCTGGTATTAGAGCCAGTGGTAGTATACACCTAGGGCCTGTGCCACCAAGCGTGCTGCAGACTCAAAGCTCTGTGCTTCCCTTGCCACCGGGTACCCTTCCCTTTCCATGCCCCCCCCACCTCCACCCGGAGAAGGCACAGGAAAGAGAGAAGAGCACTGCACATTCCATGCATGGAGACAACCTTTCCCATGTGGGTAAGGAATGAAGTGGTGCAATTGATGCTTTCCCAACCAGAACAAGATGTTCCTGTTTAAAGATGGTCTGAAAATGGATCCTTTACTGATTTCTTGGAATTTATATTATGCTGTCCTAAACTTATCTTTGCAACAGGAGCAGAGATGTTCTCATTGCTCTAAGTATTTTTAGATCTCTGCCTTAGGAATATCTTCCGTTTGTGCCATATGGTGGGGGCAGGAATGGTGGGAGCCTGTCACTCCTGCTAAATAATGATAGTGGTGATGATGGAGGTGGCAATGATGGTGGTAGTGGTGGTGATGGTGGTGGCAGCTAGATGGTGATGATAATGGTGATGGTGTGATGATGGTGATGGTGGTGCTGGTGATGGTCGTGGTGATGTGATGATGGTGATGGTGGTGGTGATGGTGATGATGATGGTAATGATGGTGATGATGGCAGTGATGGTGATGGTGACGGTGGTGGTAATGATGATATTAATGATGGTGATGACAGTGATGGTGGTGGTGATGGAGTGATGGTGGTAATGGTAGTGGTGGTGGTGTGATGATGGTGATGGCGGTTATGGTGATGATGGTAATGATGGTGATGATGGTGGTGATGGTGGTGATGGTGACAATGATGGTGGTGATGGTTGTGGTTGTGGTAATGATGGTGATGGTTGTGGTGGAGGTGGTGGTTGTGGTGATGATGGTAATGGTCATGGTGGTGGTGGTGATGGTGGTGATAATGGAGATGATTTGCTACATGTTTATTAAGCTCATGCTTTTGTGCCCTTGCAGGTGGAATGCATGGATGACCATCAAGCCAGTCAGGCCCTGGAGGAGGTAACTCTCAGGGTGGTTTCCCCTCTGGAAGAGCTCAATAGAGCATACACGGATTGTGTTCTATACCTTCTTGTTGAGTGCCTGGGTAAAGGGAAGGCTGGAGGGAGGGATAGAGCATCAGCACCAGTTTTGCCTCAGCTGTGAAGCCAGCAGCCCCAGGTCGTGAAGGGAGGCCATGCCCCAAACACTCACTGCTAAATGCAGGTGCCAACAACTTAGAACGCATATTCCCAGAGAACATAAAGTTTAAATATTGGGCTGCACACAGTGGCTCACGCTTGTAATCCCAGCACTTTGGGAAGCCGAGGCGGGTGGATCACCTGAGGTCAGGAGTTCAAGACCAGTCTAGCCAACATGGGGAAACCCCATCTCAACTAAAAATACAAAAAAATTAGCTGGGCATGGTGGTGGGTGCCTGTAATCCCAGCTACTTCGGGAAGTTGAGGCGGGAGAATCGCTTGAACCTGGGAGGCAGAGGTTGCAATGAGCCGAGATCACACCATTATATTCCACCCTGGGCAATAGAGCAAAACTTCGTCTCAAAAATAAATAAATATTGGCCAGGTCCCTAGGTTAATCTACCAATAACTGTTTTTTAAATATTTTTTCTTCAATATAAAATTATTAATTACAGAAGAAAGTTTTTTAAATACAGAATTGGGTTTTCTTTTGCTTTTACCTTTTTTTTTTCTTTAATAGCAATGGAGTCTCACCATTTTGCCCAGGCTACTTTTGAACTTCTGGGCTCAAGCAATCCTCCCACCTCGGCCTCCAAAGTGCTGGGGTACAGGTGTGTACCACCACGCCCATACCAGAATTGTTTAACAAAGCAAACGTAAATTATCCTTCATTCTACCATTCAGAGCGGCCCAGCAGTAGCATGGTCATTTACAATAATAGCAATAACAGCTGCACTTCGGTTGGATTGGCAAAGCCTCTGAGTAGCCTTTCTTTGTGTTTCTTGAATTTCCCACGAGCTTGAAGGTGTCCCTTCCTATCTCATAGTCACTTGTTTGTCTTCTGGAATTGCTGGCTCTGCAGCTTGGCCAGCAAACATTATTCGGTGTATAGTGTGACTGAAGCACAGTGGTGGGCCCAGGCTACTCGGTAACAAATGGGAAGAAAGAGCATGGGGGCCCACCCAGAGCCCCACGCCGCCATGGCTTTTCACGTTGCTGATTCAATTCCACGGCCCACTAGGCCAGCCGCTTTCACACCCAACCTTCCACCACAAGCAGGTGTCTGTCTGGCTCTGTGTCTCTAAGGCAGCCCTGTCTGCTCCTGTTTGGGCATGTTTCAAAGCACTTTCCGCCAGGGCAGGGGGCACTGGGACCTCTCCGTGGGCCCACCTCCCGGTGGCTGCACCACCTCCTCCGGCCAGCCCTGGCTGTGGCTGATCCCCACCTTCCTGGCACTGCCTACCACAGCTCACTCGGTCCCCGTGGCATCCCTGTGAGGCAGATTCCACTGGGACCCCCATTTTCAGATGACAATGTGAGGCCCAGTCGCCCAGCACAGCCAGCACATGCTGGACACAGGACTCACATCAGACTGCCTGGCTCCTAACCACCGTGCAGCCTCCCCGAGCCCGCTCCCCAGCCCGGCTCAGAGCCCGAGGCTTGCATGTTTGTTGGGATGTGTGACAGAGAAGCCCGAGCTGAGAAAGGCGTGAAGAGGCGCTGACTTCTCCGTTTCCTCTGCTCTCATCCTGGCAGCTGATGCCACTGCTGAAGCTGCAGCACGCCCACATCTCTGTGTACCGGGAGCTGTTCATCACGTGGAATGGGGAGGTGGGTCAGAGCTCACATCTACGGGTTCAGCCGCTGCGTGGTGGGCTGTGGGACCAAGCCGAGTGAGCCCAGAGCACGCCCACCCCCCACCGTCAGAATAGCTCGTGTGGCAATGGCAGTGACTCTAAACGTGGCCATACCTGACCTAACACTCACTGGGGCCAGGAACCATGCTGGGGGCTTTCCATGCATCGTCTCATAGGAGCCCCAACAACCTCATTAGGAGGGTTTTTTGGTTTTTTTTTGAGACAAAGTCTTGCTCTTGTCCCCCAGGCTGGAGTGCAATGGCATGATCTTGGCTCACTGCAACCTCTGCCTCCTGGGTTCAAGCGATTCTCTTGCCTCAGCCTCCCAAGTAGCTGGGATTACAGGCGCGTGCCATGATGCCCAGCTAATTTTTATATTTTTAGTAGAGATGGGGTTTCACCATATTGGCCAGGGTAGTGTCGAACTCCTGACCTTAAGTGATCCACCCGCCTCAGCCTCCCAAAGTGCTAGGATTATAGGCTTGAGCCACCGCGCCTGGCCAGGAGGGGTTCTCAACCCATTTGACAGAAGAAGAGACAGAGGCTAACAGAAACAAGTTGCTCCAGTTTACCCAGCTAGTTCGTGACCAAGTCAGAGGACCAGGCGAGGTGGGCCTGATTCCCGGGCTCTGCACACAGCCACCGAGCTTGTCCTGGTGAGCCTGTGCCTCTGATGACAGAGTTTCTACTTTCATGGAAGGCTGTCTCCACAGCCACCCGACGCAAGTGCCGTCCTGGGCCCGTGCGCCCCTTCCTCCTGCAGCCCCTGTGCAGGTTACTGACCAGCACCACATCCATCATCACGTGCTAGGAGGGCTGCAGGGCAGGAAGCATGGTCCCTGTGCTCCTGATGGGGCCTAGGGCTCTGGTTCAGGAGCTCTCCAAGGCCACAAAGCTAGTAAACAGCTGACTGGGGACGGAGACTCAGGTCCGGCAGCCGGGTCCTGTAGGCTGGATGACTTCTTGTCTTTACAAGGAGCCTGGAGCTTTCCAGTCACTTCCAATGTGTCTGAGGCAGACAGCGGGAGGCTGAGAAGGCACAAGGGTGCTGGAGGTAAAGAGAGGCCGAGAAGCCTTCTGCCGGGCGCCAGCCTGCATGAGACGTCCACACTGGCGTTCCCACCTGGGGCCAACAATCCCGGGTCTGAGCAGGAAAGACCCCTCATCACATGCTCCTTCTGCTCCAGCTGGGTCTCGGGGAGGGGACCTCACGGCATGCACTCCCAGAGATTTTTCTGAGCACCCACTAATGCTCTCAAGGAGGGTGCACAGAAGCCAAGAGGACATTTCCCTATGGGAGGGAGCGCAGAACTGGGGGCCCTGACCCGGTCTGCTGGGGCTCTGGCCAGGGCAGGCTCCTCAGAGGAAATGGATCTGAGCTGAGCCCTAAAGGGTGAGTAGTTATCCCCGTGAAGCGGGTAGGTAGTGGTCCAGGCAGAGGGGTCCAGGTGTGCAGTGGCCAGGGGACAAGTGCAGCTTCCAGGAAAGTCCAAGTAGCTTGGTGTGGATGGAGTGTGGAGTGGGGGTGGGGCCTGGGAATGGGGAGAGGAGAGAGAGGAAACTGAAGGTGGGACAGGAGGGGCTTGTAGCCCCCTCCAGTGGGCAGTGGTCCCACGACCACTGCGGATGGCAGCTGAGTGCAGGGAGGCCCTGGAGCAGGCAAGCCTGTAGAAGCATGGGGGCCTGGGCATCCCTTGGATAAGGGCCTCCTGTCCCAGCAGATCTCTTCTCTGTACCTCTGCCTGGTGATGGAGTTCAACAAGCTCAGCTTCCAGGAGGTCATTGAGGATAAGAGGAAGGCAAAGGAAATCATTGACTCTAAGGTAAGATCCTCTGGGCACCAGGCCTGGGGGCCACCTAGACCTGTGACACAGGCCCTGCAGCTCGGGGCAAAGTGACAGCGGGAAGGCAGGCACCATGGAGTCCAGCCTTGTTTTTTTCTTAAATGTATGCCTCGAGGCATTGCACCCTAGGACGCGTGCAGGTCTTAAGTGCACAGTTTGATGCACTCATATAACTTCTACCCAGTTCAAAGCAGAAGGCGTTCCTAAGCACAGAAGGTTCCCAGTCAGTGACCATGATTCCAGATTGTTCTGCCGGTCCCTGAAGTTCACGTAAATGGACTCCTCCGGCATGCCGCGCGTTCCCGTCTGGTCTCCTTCCCTCAGCTGCTGCATGCACCGGCAAATCATCTGTGCTCATTGCTTGCTGCCACTCTGCTGCCTGGCTGCCCCACAGGCTGTTTCCCTAGTCTTGTGTGGATAAGCACCTGGCCTCGCTGCAGGCTGTTTACCTAGTCTTGTGTGGATAATCATTTGGGCTGTTTCCAGTTTGGGGCCATTGTGAATAAGGCTGCTATGAGCATTGCTGGAAGGCACTCACTTTTCTGGGATGAATACCTAGGAGTGGAATTACTGGGTCGTAGAGTAGGTGTATGTGTAGCTTTGGTAGATGCTCCAAACAGATTTCCAGCGTGGTTTGGTTGGCCCCATGTTTACTCTCACAAGCTGTGAGCATTCCCGGTCCACATGGCGGCCAGTGCTTCACTGTGTCAGTCTTCTTGTTGTCGTTGTTGAGATGGAGTTTCACTCTGTTGCCCAGGCTGGAGTACAATGCACGATCTTGGCTCACTGCAACCTTCGCCTCCCGGTTCAAGCGATTCTCCTGCCTCAGCCTCCCAAGTACCTGGGACTAACGGTGCCCACCAACACACCCAGCTAATTTTTGTATTATTAGTAGAGACAAGGTTTTGCTATGTTGCCCAGGCTGGTCTTGAACTCCTTACCTCAAGTGATCCGCCCGCCTCAGCCTCCCAAAGTGCTGGGATTACAGGCGTGAGCCACCACGCCCAACCAGTTCACTTTCTTAATGATGTCTTTTGACGACAGAAAGTCCTAACTGTAATGAAGTTCGCTTTCCCGATGCTGTCTCTTATGGTTAGTGCCTTTGGAGTCTAGGAAGCCTTTTGTGCTCCAAGGTCATGAAGATACTCTCCTCGGTTCTGGAAGCTTGGTCGTTTTTGCCTTCGCATTTAGATCTTTCATCTCCCCCAGAAGAATGCTGCCTGCTTTTACCCTGAGAACCGTGTTTGGTGGGACCATGTGCCCCTGAGGGTCTCTTCGGGGCACACAGCTCTTCTCTTACCGTGGGCCTCAGAGGCAGGCCCAAAGTGGGTTTCAGACTTTGTGAGTGAAGCCCTTAAAACACGAAATGTTCCCAGAAACCCAGTAAGTGCAGCAGACCTACTCTAACTGGGGAGAGTGGGAGGATGCCCACGTCCTGCCCCCTCAGCCCCTCTCTGACACCCCAGGTTGGCCCTGAATCCAGGGACCCTAGGAGCCCAGCTTCAGAACCACCACCCTGGGTACTTGATGGAGCCTGTCTCTGACGCCGAACACTCCCAGCATTCTCTCTCAGGGTTCTTTTCATTAGAATGACTTAGAGGAGCGAGCTCGTGTAGGCACCGAAGGCTTCCACCCCTCCCGTACCCACGAGGCCCATCTGCCTCCAGCTCCCGGCAAGTGTGGGGCAGCGCGGGCCATAGGGTGGGGTGCAGGGATGGGGCCCTGCAGCACCCGGGGTCTCTGGTATAGAGACAGCAGTGTGGAGTCTGGAAACTCAGAGTCCTTCTGGCCGCCGCCGCGGCTTTACCATCTGGAGAGCCACCGCACTGAAGCCTCCTCCACCCTGAGCGCTTGGCTGGCTTCAGGCCTGTCTCAAGATGCAGGGAGAGAATACGCTACCATCCTGCTGGCTGCTGTGAATGTCACCCCCTGAAAGCAGCACAGGGCGCCCCTCCCATCCTGGCATCCCCTGCTTCTCCCCCAGTGGATGCAGAATGTGCTGGGCCAGGTGCTGGACGCGCTGGAATACCTGCACCATTTGGACATCATCCACAGGTGACTGGGGCCTCTGACCTCCCTGGACTGTTGGGCTGCTTCGGGAGAAAAGGCACTGAGGCCACTCGGGTGCCAGTGCCCGTGGGCAGGATCTGGGGAGAAAGGCGCACTGGGCCAGTGCAGCCAAGATAGGATGGGGACCTTCCAGACCACCTCCCGGGCTCAGGAGAGGCTCTTCCAAGTGGTCTCAAGCCATGTGCACATGCACAGCTGCACGGGGTGTGCGCTAGCCAGGCAGGTTACTCTAGAGTTCATGGAAGGAAGGAGGCAACAGCCCTGCCAGGAAGAGAGACCAGGCTGCCTGCCGTGGGGCCAGTGTGGGCTGAGTGGGCCCTGCTATGCCTTTGACCACCCAGCGGCCCAGCATCAGGCTGGAGAATCCATGGTCTGAAGGGGCTGGGAGATGGCTCCAATTCTGAACACCAATATCTTATTTAAAGAGGAAGAGGGAAACCATGTGGCTGGGCGTGGTGGCACACGCCCGTGGTCCCAGCAACATGGAGGCTGAGGTGGGAGGATTGCTTGACGCCAGGAGCTTGAGGCTTCAGTGAGCTATGATCGTGCCACTGCACTTCAGCTGGGCAACCCTGACTTAAAGCACACAGATACACACACACACACACACACACACACCACGCAGACCATATGTACAAAGGGAATGCTTCACATTCCACATTCAGTGTCATGTCACTAGACATCGCACAATGGCCAAAAATCAATACCCAGTCAAGTGCATAGCTGGGCTATCTAAGGAGGTGAACATGTCAACCAAGGGACCTTTCCGGGTACTGGGTGTGTTCCTACTTGTGGTTGGAGATTCTTCCCCCGGTTTAAAATAATTGAGTCCATTTCTGTACATAGGAAACAACTGCTTAAAAAGTAGACTGAGATGGGGCATTTTGTGGAGGGGAGGAGGGTGTGGGCTGCTGCCTGAGAACCGGGTGGGGCAGGGAGCAGAGAGTCAGGCTCAGCACGCACGTTGGTCCCACCTGGGGTCGGGGGTGGTGGCTGCCCAGGCAGCCCCTTGGCACCCAGAGGCGAACCCCCCTCTTGGTTTCAGAAATCTCAAACCCTCCAACATCATCCTCGTCAGCAGTGACCACTGCAAACTGCAGGACCTGAGCTCCAACGTGCTAATGACGAACAAAGCCAAATGGAATATCCGTGCGGAGGAAGGTGGCAGGGGCTCCCCTAAGTCGTGGGAGAGGGGCTTGGCGCCTAGAATCCAGACGGTGGTGGCCACTCTGGGTGCTGGAGTGAGGCAACATCAAACAGCTGTTTGCTCAGAAGGTCCCCACAAAGCCCTAGCCTTGTGTGGACCCCAAAGAGACCTCCTTTGGGTTGTAACTGAGCAGGCGTGCCACCACCAGGGGCAGAGGCAGGGTCCCAAAGACACCCAACATTTGAGAGAAACAAAGTCGTGGTTGTTTGTGGTACCCCAGAAAATGTTGCTTCTCAGGGAGGGAAAAGAAAGCTTTGGAAGGAAGGAAATGAAAATGCCCAGGACGGAGGGTCTGTGGGTGCCACGCACTGACTGCGTGTAGATCACTGAGTCCTAAAACAACCCAGGAGATGACTGGGGTGGGTGGCAAGGGGAGACGAGTTCTCGTTCCTTTGAAAAGATGGCCGGAGAAAGGAGGCTGGAGAGAGTAACCACAGAGGAGGAGTCCGGAGTCCAGAGTCCCAGGGTGGCAGTGGCTGGTTGCACTCTGTCCTTGGTAGACAGAAGATGAATAAGTAGATGGGTGCATAGATGGGTGGGTGTGTGGTTAGTTGGGTGGGTGAGTGGATGGATGGTGGGTGAGTGGATGGATGGATGGATGCGTGGGTGGGTGAATGGATGGATGGATAGATGGGTGAGTGGATGGATGGTGGATGGATGGGTAAGTGGATGGATGGTGGATGAGTGGATGGATGGATGGATGGATGGATGGATGGATGGATGGATAGGTGGGTGGGTAAGTGGATGGTGGGTGAGTGGATGGATGGATGGGTGGATGGGTGGGGTGAGTGAGTGGATGGATGGATGGATAAGTGGGTGGATGGATGGATGAATAGGTGGGTGGGTGGGTGGATGGATGGATGGATGGATGGATGGATGGATGGATAGGGTAGGTGGGTGGGTGAGTGGATGGATGGATGGATAGATGGGTGGATGGATGGATGGATAGATGGGTGGGTGAGTGGATGGGTGGGTAGGTGAGTAGATGGATGGATGGGTGGATGGGTGTGTGGTTGCATGGGTGGGTGTATGGGCAGATGGGTGAGTGCATGGGTTGTGGGCAGTTGGGTAGGTGAGTAGATGGATGGGTGGGTGGGTGCATGTGTGGATGGATGGGTGGGTGGATGAGTGAGAGTGAGTGAATGAGTGGGTGGGTGGGTGAGTGGATGGATGAGTGGATGAGTGGATGGATGGATGGATGGATGGGAGTATGGGTAAGTGGATGGGTGGGTGGGCAGGTGGGTGGGTGAGTGGATGGATAGGTGGGTGGGTGCGTCAGTGGATGGATGGATGGATAGATGGGTAAGTGAATAGATGGATGGATGGGTGGATGGGTGTGTGGTTGGAGGGGTGGGTGTGTGGGCGGATGGGTGAGCGCATGGGTTGTGGACAGATGGTTGGGTGGGTAGATGGATGGGTGGGTAGGTGTGTGTGTGGATGTATGTGTGGGTGGGTGGGTGTATGGATGAATGGATGGATGGGTGGGTGTGTGGGTAAATGGGTGGGTGTGTGGATGGATGGATGGGCGGGTGAGTGAGTGAATGAGTGGGTAGGTGGGTGAGTGGATGGGTGGGTGGGTGGATGGGTGGGTGGATGGGTGGGTGGGTGGATGGATGGATGAATGGATGGATGGGGTGTGTGTGGATGGATGGGTGAACAGACAGGCAGATGGTTGTTTCTGTTGGAGGTGTAGATGGCACGCATCCTTGGAGTCCAGCTCTTTACTGTTGGGCTGGCGAATGGAGGTCCAGAGAAGGAGGGGCTGCCTGAGGCCAACCAGGGACTGATGGACTCAGAGGAGTCTGCTCTTTTGCCTCCCTGTCTGGGGTTCCAGTTTAGAAAGTAGGGCAGAGCAACTGTAACTTTGCCCCCAAGGTCCTGACATTCAGAAGGGGCAAGAAGTTTAGAGGGGTGCACAGTTTCTTGGCATGTGCCTCTTCCATCTCCTTCTACGGCCATCTTGGGCACACAGACACACCACCCATATGGGCCAACCTGGTGGGCACCTGCCAAGATGGACAGCTTCAGTGGCTCCAGATCAACGCAAAGCTCCTGCTGGCTGGGGCCTCGTCCTCCCCACAGTTAATATTCTCCACCTCTTCTGACAAGGGGAGCTGCAGGGCTCGTGTTGTGTTTCAAGCTGCCTGTGAGGGGCCACCACAGGGGACACAATGCTAGGCAGGATGAGTCTGTCAAGCCCCTGCCCCCAGGGAGCGAAGGACTCAGGGATCCCACCTTGCTCTTACCAACAGACCCCTTTCATAAGTCCTGGATGGCCCCTGAAGCCCTCAACTTCTCCTTCAGCCAGAAATCAGACATCTGGTCGCTGGGCTGCATCATTCTGGACATGACCAGCTGCTCCTTCATGGCTGTGAGCCGCCCTCCCTCCCCCACACCCCTCTCTATACACCCAGGCCTGGGGAGAAGGCTTGGCCTCACCCTGCCTCCCCTCGGCATCCCTTCCCCTGGCTCCCTGCAGGCTGCACGGAGCCCCCTCCTCCACCTGTGGGGGGCCTGCCCTCCTCAGAACCCCCCAGCATGCAGCTCCTGCTGGGCTCTAGCAGGATGACAGCAGTGGTGATATTCAGACCGTCCCACGCGACCCTCACAGCAGCCCTCCAGGTGGTGTCACTGACTCTTAATGGAAAAAAGCCAAGTTCAGGTGCCCTTGTGAGCATGAAGGCTGCACGGAGTTGCAAGCAACGGAAACCCAGCGTGGGCCTGAACACACCCAGCTGCCTCATGCACAAGCCCCAGGCTGGTGTGGAGGCGCCTTCTCTCCTCCTGCACATCCTTAGCACGTAGCTCTTTCTCTCATCCCTGCTGGGGCCCCTGCACCATGGCCACTGCCTGTGGGCAGGAAGGAGGGGAGGCAGAGGGCCCCACTGGCCCCGTGAGCACTCCGAGGTCACTCTGGCTGCAGGGAGGCAGGGAAGTCCAGCCTGTTGCTTCCTACCCTCTATATGCAGAAGAGAAAGTGGGGAAGGCCTGCCATGCCCCAAACAAGGAAGCTCCCCTTCTCCGCAGCACCACCTGCAGGCACCGAGGTCCCCAGAAAGGACAGACACCTGACTGGGCCCAGGTTCCTCATGCTCTCCCAGACCCCCAGACTCCACCTCTGAGAAGCACCTTGCCACTCCCTTCCTTTGGAAAACTCCCAGGGAAATGAGAGCCTTCCCACTATGGAGGCTGTGTGACATCCTGGAGCGTGACCCTGGACACGCTCACACTCTGTGAAATGGGCATGCTGTCTTACTGGCTGGGTCTAGATCAGGGGGCTTCTTGGCAGGACTCTACCCTGGGAGACAACCCGCTGGCTTCTCTGAAACTCCATTTCTTATGGAAGAGCTTGGGGCCCCTGGGGTCTCTGGGCATTCTTGTAGGCAGTGGCCACACCTGGCTCTCCCTGGTCTCCTCCTGGATTTCTTGGTCCCTGGTCGCCCTCTGCCCATGCTGGGGCCTAGTTTCCATTTACTTAAGGTAATGCACAGAGCTGTCCTCTCTCCGTGCAGAGCACAGAAGCCATGTATCTGCGGAAGTCCCTCCGCCAGAGCTCGGGCAGCCTGGAGACCGTCCTGAAGACAATGGAGGAGAAGCAGATCCCGGATGCAGAAACCTTCGGGAATCTTCTGCCCAGGATGCTCCAGATCGACCCCTCGGATCGAATAACGATAAAGTGAGCTCAGGGTCGGGGTTTATTTTAACCTATGGATTTATCTTTCAACATCTCTCCACCCTAATACAAACACAACTAGTTGGCTTTGTAACACCTCAAAGAACTCCATCACAGACGCCCTGATTATCCCTGCACTGCTGGGCTTTTCCCAGTTCTGGCGCTCCCAAACCATGCTGCGGCTAGTGATCCCAAATGCACCTCTCTGAACACTGGGGGGAGCAGACTGACTCCCAGAAGGCACAGGAGGCACAGTCTCCAGGACCCATGACACTTTTAGGGTTCCAGAAAAAAATTTTCATTCTACGTTAAAAAAAAATTCCTAAAGACAGTGGTCACCTTTAAAATTTTCATTCTAACTTATTTTAAAATCAAAAGACAAAAGTAAATACATAACACTGGCCGGGTGCAGTGGTTCATGCCTATAATCCCAGCACTTTGGGAGGCCGAGGTGGGCAGATCATTTGAGCTCAGGAGTTCGAGTGTAGCCCGGGTAACATGGCGAAATCCCTGTCTCTACTAAAAATACAAAAAAATTAGCTGGGTATAGTGGTGCATGCCTGTGTTCCCAGCTACTGGGGAGGCTGAGACAGGAGGATCGCTCGAGCCCGGGAGGCAGAGGTTGCAGTGAGCCAAGATCGTGCCACTGCACTCCAGCCTGGGCGACAGAGCGAGACTCCATCTCAAAAATAAAAAAGAATCCAGGCCAGGCACGGTGGCTCACGCCTGTAATCCCAGCACTTTGGTAGGCCGAGGTGGGTGGATCACTTGAGGTCAGGTGTTCAAGACCGGCCTGGCCAACAGAATGAAACCCCGTCTCTACTAAAAATAGAAAAAACATTAGCTGCGCGCGGTGGCGGGCACCTGTGGTCCCAGCTGCTCGGGAGGCTGAGGCAGGAGAATTGCTTGAACCCGGGAGGCGGAGGTTGCAATGAGCCGAGATCGTGCCACGGCACTCCAGCCTGGGTGACAAGAGTGAAACTCCATCTCAAAAAACAAACAAACAACAAAAAAACAAAACAAAAAACAAACAAACAAAAAAACCCCAACACTATAGCAAGGAATCCAGCCTGGGTCATATCCATCTTTATACCAATGCAGTTGTACAATCTGGGTTTTCATGTTTCCATGGAGGCAGGGGACCACAAGGGCAAAAGTGCCAGGGCCCGGGACTGTCCCCCAGCTCTATGAGCTGAGGCCGTGCCTCCGTGGAGTACTTCCCTGGGTGTGGAATTACTGGGGTGCTTGCCGGACACACTGGGAACACTATGAGAGACCCTGCCAAATGGATCCCAAAACAGTGAGGTCAGTGTCCAGCGTCCACACGGATGGGCAGCCCGGAGCCGGAGGCAGAGGGAGAGCCCCACGGGGAGGCGGCAGGGGGCGCTGCTGGGTTACTCAGCCCTCTCTGCTCCTCTGCTAGGGACGTGGTGCACATCACCTTCGTGAGCGGCTCCTTCAAATCCTCATGCATCTCTCTGACCCTGTACCGGGAGACGGTGCCCGCGTCCATCACCGACATGCTGTTAGAAGGCAACGTGGCCAGCATTTTAGGTGATGTGATGCTGGGGACACACAGCTCCTGTCTATGGCCCTGGCATCCTGTCGTTTAGTTCCAGAGGGTTCATTATTTATGCTCCTGGCCTTGCTCCACACGCACGACCAGTGGGTAGGAACAGTTTCCCTCCATCCATCCCTACACACTGCCCAGGACACCGCTCCGCTCAAATACCCTCCATAGCTCCCAACTACCTATAACACAAAGTTCCTCTCCAAAGCCTGGCCCCCACCTGTTTTCCCTCCGCTCCTGCTACACAAATCCTCCATGTAGCTCAGTGGCTTAGTCACTGCCTGCGCCTCCCACAACCCTCTGCTTCTGCTTCCACAGCCTGGGTGGCACACAGTGGTCCCGGGGCGTCTTCCTCACACAGCACCACTTCCTGTGTGCCTCCTATGTGCCCGGGATGAGCGGAAGTGCGCTCCACTATTTGTGTACTCCAAGACAGAGACTTGGGCTCTATCAAGGAAAAGTTGCTTGGTCTCAGTGGCCTCATCTGTAAAGTGGGGATGGTAACAGCCCCTCCCTCTCATCCTGAACCTGTAGATCTGAGGAGGGGATACATACACAGCAGCCAGGCCAGTGTGGTGCCCAGAGACAGGGCCCTGAGGCCCTGGTCCTCAGAAAGGTCCCTCCCCTGCCTTCCTGTCCCTGCAGAGGTCATGCAGAACTTCTCTGGCTGGCCCGAAGTCCAGTTCAGGGCCATGAAGAGGCTTCTGAAAATGCCTGCAGATCAGCTAGGTAGGCCTCACCCTGCACCTCTTTCCCAGCTGCTCCCCTAGGGGCAGAAGCTATGGTCCAGCCTGCAGGGAGCTGGGGCTGGCCCTCACCCTGGGCTCTCCTTGCCAGTGCTTTAGTGCAGCGTGGAGGTGTGCATGTGTCCCCAGAAGTGTCCCGTGTCTCTGCTATCCGCCTGGGGAAGGCAGCAGAGAAGGGGAATGGGTGGCGTAGCAGCCCTCACACGATTTTAACGGAGCCATAGACATCCCATCTACCCCACTGTCTCCATGAGGGGTATGTGAGTTGTTCCTCAGTTTCCACTATTATGAATGATACTGGACCAGACACCCTGGTGTATATGTATCTGTGCGCTTATGTTTCTGTAGCACAGATTCGTAGATGTTCAAGGGTGTGAATACTTTAAATTTTCATAGATACAGCAACTTGCCCACCTATTAAGAACGCATGGCCTGGCACAGTGGCTCACACCTGTAATCCCAGCACCTTGAGAAGCCAAGGCAGGAGGACTGCTTGAGCCTAGGGGTTCGAGGCCAGCCTGGGCAACAAAGGGAGAGCCTGTTTCTACAGAAAATAAAAAAAATTAGCCAGGTGTGGTGACACAGGTCTGTTGTCCCAGCTACTCTGGAGGCTAAGGCAGGAGGATTGCTGGAGCCCAGGGAACCGAGGCTATGGTGAGATACGCTTGCGCCGCCGCACTCCAGCCTAGAAGACCCTGTCTCAGAAAACAAAACCAAATTCAAAAAGGTTGTTACTGCTCATTCATGGAGAGTGTTGGGAAAAGCAGTGGTTTTTTTTGTTTTTGTTTTTTTTTTTTGAGACAGGGTCTTGCTCTATCCCCCAGGCTGGAGTGCAGTGGTGTGATCTTGGCTCACTGCAACCTCCGCCTCCTGGGTTTAAGTGATTCTCCTGCCTCAGCCTCCCAAGTAGCTGGGACTACAGGTGCATACCACCACACCCGGCTAATTTTTTGTATTTTCAGTAGAGAAGTGGTTTTGCCATGTTGGCCAGGCTGGTCTCAAATGCCTGATCTCAAGTGATCTGCCTGTCTCGGCCTTCCAAAGTGTTGGGATTACAGGCATGAGACACCGTGCCTGGCCAATTTTTAAAACATTTGTGTCAAAACATACTTTCATAAAATCAACCTTTTTCACCTGCCTGAACATTACCTTCACACATCCATCCATCCATCCATCCATCATCCATCCATCCATCCATCCACCCACCCCACCCACCATCCATCCATCCATCCATCCATCCATCATCCATCCATCCATCCATCCATCATCCATCCATCCATCCATCCATCCATCCATCCATCCATCCATCCTTTATCCACCCATCCATCTATCCATCAGACCTGGATTAGGAATCCACTGAGGTTTGTTGCAGTGGCTCAGGCCTCAGAGATGATAAGGCCCAGCCCTGACCTTCAAGTAGGTGGCAGAGGCCTCATATGGGCCTAATTTACCATTCCCTCCCTCCCCTCCTGCTCTTTGACCCCTTTTGTAGCTCAGCTGTGACCAGGACAGAGTCCCTGGGAAGACAGATTTTGCCTCCCTGGGGAAACTAGGGAAGCTTTTGGGCCCCATCCCAAAGGGTTGGTCTTTCCCAGCACCCAGAACCACACCTCCCTCCACGTCTTGCTTAGAAATGGGCTTGCAGCTGAGCACAGTGACTCATGCCTGAAATCCTAGCACTTTCGGAGGCTGAGGTGGGCAGATCACTGGAGATCACGAGTTCAAGACCAGCCTGGCCAACATGGTGAAACCCTGTCTCAACTAAAAATACAAAAATTAGCCAGATGTGGTGGCGCATGCCTGTAATCTCAGCTACTCAGGAGACTGAGGCAGGAGAATCGCTTGAACCCAGGAGGGGGAGGTTGTGGTGAGCCGAGATGATGCCACAGAAAAGCCTGGGTGACAGAGTGAGACTCTGTCTCCAAAAAAAAAAAAAAAAAAAAGGTGGGGAGGGGCACTTGCTTTGCTCCGCACTCCGGGTGCCAGGACTTCATCCTTGTTGCTCTCATGAGCCTACAGTGGAGGTATGGCTGCCTGGCCACTGCCCCTCACCAGTCCCCAGCCCACACTTCCTGGCACAGTGGCAGGGTGGATGGAGCCCACCCACGCCCACCCTCAAGGCAGTTGCAGCCAAGGGCTCTGGGGTAGACTGGCTGGTTTTAAACTGCTGAAGAGCAGGCGCTTTCATCCCACTGACCCCAGGTTCCTCATCGGCACAAGGAGGGCAGTCCCGGGAGGGGCCACTTCACAGGGCTGTGGGCAGCACAGGAACATGTACCCGTGGCAGACATGGCATGCACTCCACAGACCTAGCACTCATCCTCGTTGTCCTTCCCCCTTCTATTCATCCACCTAGGGCCCTGCAGGCTCCCACCAGCCTCTGGGGGCCCTGGTCTGCTCTATACGCCCCCGACCTGGCCCAAAATGAGTCTCCCCTGTGCCGCCCACCCTGCCAGGTCTGCCGTGGTGCCCGGAGCTGGTGGAGGTGGTGGTCACGACCATGCAGCTGCATGACAGGGTCCTTGACATCCAGCTGTGTGCCTGCTCCCTGCTGCTGCATCTCCTGGGCCAAGGTGGGTGCCAAACCAGGCCAGGTGGGGTTGGGGAGGCTGTGCGCTGCTTCCTGCAGCTGTGCCTCCTGCGCCAAGGTGGGCACTGGGCCGGGTGGGTTGGGGGAATCCATGCCCTGCTCCCTGCTGCTGCACCTTCTAGGCCAAGGTGGATGCCAGGGCCAGGCCAGATGGGGGAGACACTCTTGGTGGCCTAGCTCTGTCCCCACCTGTTACCTGGTTGGCATCTGACCCTCTGGACAGTCCATACCATCCTGTGCCCATTGGACCCCATCCTGGGTGGCAGAGGGCATAGGCCAGGAGCCCAGAGATGTGGATCCCACGCCTGCCTTTTGCCTGCTCTGTGGCCCTGGACAAGTTCCTGCTGCTCCCGCCAGTTTCCCAGCTATGAAGTGAGGAGCTGGACACGAGGTCCTCTGGAGTGGCCCTCAGGGAGGATGGGTTGCATCCTCTGAAGGGGGCTGGTAGGACAGTGCTGAGTTGATTTCACTGCCCTGATGAAAGAGGCTGGAGCTGACAGTCCGAGCCTCCTATGAGACCTGGGTTGTTAAAAAAGTTGAATTAGCTTTCATGATTTTTTTTAAAACAAAAAGTATTGTTACTTTTCTAGTTTTTGCGTTTTTTTGGTTTTTTTTTTGAGATGGAGTTTTGCTCGTCACCCAGGCCGGAGTGCAGTGGCACGATCTCGGTTCACTGCAACCTCCACCTCCTGGGTTCAAGCGATTTTCCTGCCTCAGCCTCCTGAGTGGCTGGGATTACAGGCACCCACCACAACACCTGGCTAATTTTTGTATTTTTAGTAGACGTGTTTCGCCATGTCAGTCAGGCCGGTCTTGAACTCCTGATGTCGTGATCCACCCACCTCAGCCTCCCAAAGTGCTGGGATTACAGGCATGAGCCACCATGCCCGCCCACCTTTCCAGTTTCACTGTTGAAGTTTGGAGTTCCATACAACATTGAAATTGTGTTCACTGCTGCCTGGTCGGCTCCCATGGACCAGGATGGGTGGCCTGGCCAGGCAGGGCTCCCCTCCAGCCCTTCATTCCATTAGGGCACACGGATTCACGGAGGCCTGCTCTAGGCCAGGAGAACAAGGCAGACCTTGCTTTCCTTCATGCAAAGTAGAGATGCTGTCCCCCAGCCTGTGAGCCTCGTGTGTCTCGTCCCACACCCCAGCTGTGGGGCTAACCCCAGGCGTCTTCCTCTGGCCCGAGCAGCGATGGTGCACCACCTGGAAGCCAAGGCCCTCTGTAACCAAGCCATCACCTCCGCCGTGCTGCGTGCTCTCTGGAGCTACCCCGAGGAGGAGTCGCTCCTTGTCTTGGTCTACAGCCTGCTAGCCATCACCACAACCCAGGGTGTGTCTGCCAGCCACCTCGTGCCCCACCCACACTCCAGGACAGCCCTCCCCAGGGGTCTCGGGAAGGGTTGGTTTGGGGTACAGGTGGGTTGGACAGGACAGTGCGGGGCCTCCTCCTGAGACGCACAGTGGCATTTGGCCATCTTCATTCGGTCACCCCAAATGCTGGTCGCATCCTTTTCCATCTTGATGACAAGCTTCCACTCTTGAAGTCACTGGTTCCCTTTACAGACATGCCAGGCGCGGCTGTGGGCTTCACACCAATGACATCTATTTGCCACACTTCCTGCCCCTTCTGGGAGGCTGGAGGGCAAATGCCCTGTCTCCATTCCATAGGGCCCAGTAGGCTTCCGAAGCCACCAGCCAGGACTGTGGGAAGGAGAGGGCCACACAGAGCGTTCACAGCCTCACCCACAAATCGGGTGGGCACTGTTCTCCCCAACAGGAAGCTGGGCCTTGAGAGAGCCTAAGGACAGCCACCAGGGATACCGTGCAGCGGGGGTCCGGGCTGGGTCCCAGCACCCTCTTCACTGCATAGACTGGACAGCTGATCATACACAACTGATATCACTTTTGGGAGTGAAAGGAGGCACTAGGAATAGATGTCAAATGGCACCATTAGGCAAAATGGATGTCAGTTCATCCTACCAGGATAGGGCCCCGTCACGGTTCCATCCTGGAAGGCACAGTCCGGCTCTGTGGGCCCAGGAGGCAGGGCCAGGCCCCCTGGATAGGAAGCTACAGAGGTCAGACCCAGCCTGGTAGTAGGATGGCAGCTATTGGGACTGGTGGCCCACGAGATGGACAGACTTCTCTGGGGCCAGTCCCATGTCCTCCTGTTCAGGGCTCCGTTGAGTGCACATGACTTGGTCCAGAGCAGGCACCCCCCAGATCGCAGGTCAAATGGGACTGCAGTGCCCAAGGACAACAAAGGCGGGAAGGCTTCCTGGAGGGAGGGGCCCTGGGACCCTCATTCTGGCCCACCCACAGAGTCAGAGTCGGAGTCAGAGTCAGTGTCAGAGGAGCTGCAGAACGCCGGGCTGCTGGAGCACATCCTGGAGCACCTCAACAGCTCCCTCGAAAGCAGGGACGTCTGCGTCAGTGGCCTGGGCCTGCTCTGGGCCCTCCTGCTGGATGGTGAGGGGCCCTCCCCCTGCTGTCCCACTGGGGCTGGGAGCCCTCCCCCAGTCGCTCCCCAACTACCCTGAGAGCCTTTGAGGACCTCCATGTCCTGTCCCCGAAGCACAACATCCATGGTCTGGGAAAGGCTCTTCTGAGAGCCTGCAACAGAAGAAAATCAAGGAGCAGAGAGAGAGAAGGTGGGGGAGGAGAAGCCTTCTGGCAGAGGCCAGGCTTCAGGACTTCTTGCCCAATGGGCAGACCCCTCAGTTTTAAGTGCCTCCTGCCCAGGGAAAAGTCCTGGAATTTTCCAGGCAGTCCTGGTTCCAGGGGACAGCGGTAGTGCTTGATTTTTTATTCACAGTAGGGGGGCCCTCTAGCCTGTGCTGCTTCCCCTCTTCTAGACCCCATCTTGGCACTCCAGTGCCCCAGGAGAAAGAGGGCTCCAAACCATGGAAAGCCCAGGAAACCCAACAACCCTGCCAGCACCCAAAGTGTGCGATTCTCCAAGCCTCTCCTGGGCTAACCCCGCAGCTGTCTGAGGACAGCTGACCTCTCCCACCCCGTTTCTGCTCTTGTCCTTAGCTGGAGGAAGGCAGCAGATTGGGGGTGGGAGGCCCCCTGCACACAACCAAGGCCTGGGTGTCCCCTCCATCCCTGTCCTGGTTCCAGGTATCATTGTGAACAAGGCCCCTTTGGAGAAGGTCCCGGACCTCATCAGCCAGGTGCTGGCCACCTACCCTGCGGATGGGGAAATGGCGGAAGCCAGCTGCGGCGTCTTCTGGCTGCTGTCCCTACTGGGTGAGCTGGGTGGGCGCCCTGGGCCCCTGGGGCTGGGAGCCGTGGGCCTCGCGCACACAGCAGGTACGAGGCAGCCGGGCCCCTTTCCGCAGGCTGCATCAAGGAGCAGCAGTTTGAACAAGTGGTGGCGCTGCTCCTGCAAAGCATCCGGCTGTGCCAGAACAGAGTCCTGCTGGTGAACAACGCCTACCGGGGCCTGGCCAGCCTGGTGGAAGTGTCAGGTGAGCCTGGGGACAGGACGAGGCTGCCACCTACAGGTGGGGACAAGAATCAGCCTCCATCAGTTATATCTGCCAGGCGCCACAAACCAAAACACAGAAGCAACAAATCAAAAAGGAAAATTAAAACGATCTAAAGTCCAATCATCCAGACATCACCATCAAGACTTCTATGCACACTTGATGAATTCTCCCTCTGCATTATGCTACCCTGTGACCCTCTCTCTGTCCATAAACACATCACATCTGCACGTTTCCCAACATGCAGGCACACCGTGACTCATCAAAACAGCTCTGGAGTCGGCGTCTCCGATTCCCCACAACACAAACCCTGCCTGTTACGCAGCAAGACAGGCTGGGCCTGGTGCTGAGCACAGCACAACCGAGGCTCAACCCACAGCACAGTCCTTCGGAGAGCACCTGGGGTCCGGCCCAGACCCCAGCTGGTGCCTAGTGACTCCGGGCTCATGGGCTCGACCTCTGTACTACCCAACCTTCCTCAGAGAGTGACGACGACTCCTTTGGCTCTTGGGGGGCTGCCTCCTCTGTTCTTGTGTGACCCTATTCAGGCCATGCCATCCTGCTGGTCCGCCCAAGCTGATGGGGCCTCCTGGGTCTCTTGTCCTATCCCAGCCCCCTGTGTGTGAGCTCTGGGGTACCATCCCATCCTGGGCAGAAGGCTCTTCCCTTTCAGGGGAATAGCGGGGCATGAACCCACTCTCACCCATCCTCCAGAGCTGGCGGCCTTCAAGGTGGTGGTGCAGGAGGAGGGCAGCAGTGGCCTCAGCCTGGTCAAGGAGACCTACCAGCTCCACAAGGATGACCCGGAGGTGGTGGAGAACGTGGGCATGCTGCTGGTCCACTTGGCTTCCTACGGTGAGAACCCCTTCTCGCATCACACCCCCTAGAGCCCAGTGGTCAGGGGTGCCCGCTCCCCCTGTAACTGACAGGCAAGGAGCGCACACAAGACGGGCTCAACCCCACTTCTCAGCCCTCTGAAACTTCCACACATTTGGCATCTTCTGAACACCAGGGGTTGTCCTGGCTGAGGGGGACGCATGGGGCTCCGGAACTGCAAGGTGGCTCTGTGCATGCCAAGCCCAAGGGGGACTGTGACCCACCCTCGTCCTTCTGGGGCTCCTGGCAAGGGGCACAGGAGGGGCTCTGGTCTCAGGACCTCCTTGCTCCGCCCGCAGAGGAGATCCTGCCGGAGCTGGTGTCCAGCAGTATGAAGGCCCTGGTCCAGGAGATCAAGGAGCGCTTCACCTCCAGCCTGGTGAGTGACAGCAGCGCCTTCAGCAAACCAGGCCTCCCTCCAGGTGGAAGCCCCCAGCTGGGGTGCACCGCGTCCGGGGCCTGGAACAGATGATTGCATGGAACTGACCTTGATCTCCACATGTATGGTTTTCAAGACTGCTCTCCCACCTGCCTATCATCCTGTCTCTATGACTGGGCCAAAATCAATCTTCAACAGGAGGGGTCATCAGACCTCTCCAGAGTTTCCTGTCCATGACTACTGGATTGAGTCACATGAGTAACTGCTCCTGGACCCGGGGACTGTCCATGAAAACTGACCCGTCTGCTTCCTCCTTCCAGGAGCTGGTTTCTTATGCAGAAAAAGTGCTCCTGAGGCTGGAGGCGGCCACTTCTCTCAGCCCCCCGGGCAGAGGAGCAGCTCAGCCCTGATGCTGGGGAGAAGACAGACACCCCCCAGGCTCCTCCTCCACGCGTGCCCTCTCCCTGCCCTTCCTTTCCATGGGTCACTGTTTCCCCTGGGGCGGCAGGGAGGGTCGCCTGGGACCAGAAGGCACACCTCACACTCCTCTTAGGTGACTAATAAAGAGGCCCAAGGCCGGTTTCTGCCTTAATCGTTTCTGGCAAGACGCCGTGACTGGCCAGTGGGGTACTTAATTCTGCAGCCTCTATAGACCTCACCCTGGACACGGAAGTCCTTCCAGACCATTCTAGATGAGAGTCAACACTGACCCTCCATAGGTTCCATTCAAAGTACACATCTGCATTTATTTTAAATCACATCCTCGGTGCGTCTGCACCTTTTCTGTCCAGCTGTCAGGTGGCCCAATAACGCCTTGGACTCCATCCCCTAGTCAGTGCCACTGGCTGTTCCTGACTCTAGTTCCCAGGGGAGTCTCAGACCGAGGCCTGGCCAAGCAAGCCACTGGCTGGCGTCACAGAGCTTCTCTAGCTCAAACAGCCCAAGGCCAGCACGTCTGCCGACCTCCAGGAGTAACCGCGGTCACCGTGCCCAGGACACATCCTCGCACTATGGGGAGAAGCCTCTGCTGGGTGACCCACCAGCCAACCCTGGGCCAATTGAGATAAACGCTCAAAGTCCAAACGGCCACGGGAAGCCCCTGATGTAACACCTGTTGTAGCGGCCAGCCGTGTCTCAGGAGCTGACTGCAGACACCGGGTCTGGGCCCCTCAAGCCCAGCGGAGCTTGTTATGTCCCCTAAGACAAAGGAGGAAAATGGGGCCCCCCAAGAGGAAGGTGCTGAGCACTTCACCCCAGGGTGAGTGGTCACTGAAGACGGGTGGTGACAGCACTGTACAAGCTGGCGGCCCACAGGCCCCATCCTCGCCTCGCCCAGGCAGTCAGCAGTTGGTAAAGCATGGCCAGGCATGCTCATGGCAGCCCCTGCTCCCCACCCCGACCATCCAGGTCCAAATACACATGGACAGTAAGACCAGGCCTCAGACCACAAAGTCAACAGGAAGGAGGACGTTCTCAGTAGCACCACGCCATGCCCCTCTGCCGTGATTCTGAAAAGGTTTCACCAGAGTAGACACTGTGGGGAGATGTGATCTGTCCCTGTGACTGGTCACATTGCCTCTGTAGCGGGGCAGCAGCAGCAGCAGCAGGGCAGGGCTGGTAGGTGTGGTCACTGCAGTGGTCTGGAGCGGTCAGCAGGGGACGCCTGTCTCGGGCCATGCTCTCCCACTCCTTCTTCACCATGATGTACAGCCTCATTGCTGCCTGGGCATCCTGAATCTAGACGACACGAAACATCCTAGCAGGTGACAAGGCATAGCTGCGGCCCACAGTCAACCCCGCAATGACTGAGCCCTCCCACTAGCCACTCTACTAGGGATGTACTGAGTGAGATGTGGACCCGGCCAAAAAATGTCACCAGGATGGGGAGGGAGGACACAACAGAAGCAGAGGGAGCAACGACCTGATGGTCCCCACACTTCTGTGACTCAGACCCCCCTTCCAGGAGAAGAAAGGGGAACCGAAAGAGGAGAAGCAACAAACACGCTGCCTTTTTAGGTTTCTGAGTGCAGGGTGATGGCAGGCTGGGCGCCGGGCACCAGGGCACAAGGACCAAGCAGACGGGCACGAAGGGCCCAAAGTGCTGAGGCCACGCTGCAGGGAGTGACTGCTCCACAGAGGCGAAGCCAGCTACTCAACGGGCCGGTCAGGGCAGGGCTGGAGGGCTGGGGGGGGGGGGGCTTTGTAATTATTTGGCAACTTTTTCTCCAAATAATGAGAATGCAGTTCTTTTGTGTTGTGTTAAATTCGTTAAATGTGCATATTTAGAACTTAACCAAAATTCCGTAACTCTATTCTGCCATTTTTTTTTTTTTTGACCAATAGCCTCGTAGGAAAAGTAGGTGCCCAGGCCCCTCCTCCCCCATGTCTGTGTCAGGTGACTCACGTCTGGTTCCTGGTGAGAAACCGCCCCAAACCCCATGGACTGCCCCCCAGGACACACTCACCGAACAGTGCTCCGCCTGCTGGACCTGGAGTCCAAGGATCCTCTCTGAAAGTAGTCGCAGGGACGGCCTTCCACTCTGCAAAGGGGGAAGAGGCGAGGGGGGGCCTCTGCAGGCTCTGCCCACACAGGGTCACCGCACCCAGCAGGGAGGGGTTGGCTACTGAACCTCACCCAAGCGACCTACAGTTTGCCCCTCAGTGGAGGTGCTCATGGCACTTAGGGTGGCAGCCACCAGCTGCAACCTCTTTATAACATGATGGGCTGGTGATGCACCCCATCAGCCAATCAAGGGAGAGGGCCAGGGAAGGAGTCAGCATCCCCATCTCCCATCTTGAGGCCTCCCTGCTTATTTCAAAAGGGACAGCTCTGGTCAGGCACGGTGACTCACACTTGTAATCTCAGCACTTAGGAGGCCAAGGAGGGCAGATCACTTGAGCCCAAGAGTTTGACAACAGCTAGGGCAACATAGCAAGACCCTATCTCTACAAAAAAATGAAAAAATCAGCCAGGGGTGGTGGCATATGCCTGCAGTCCCAGCTATTTCAGACGCTAAAGTGGAAGGACTGCCTGAGCCTGGGAGGCGGCAGTTACGGTGAGCCGAGATCATGCCACTGCACTCAGGCCTGGGTGACAGAGCAAGACCCTGACTAAAAAAAAAAAAAAAAAAAAAAAAGGATGAAGAACAGCTGTGCCCTTGGCACCCTCTAGAGTAGATACGACTAGCACCAGGCCCTTAGTCAGTGACCCTGTTTCAGAGGTTAGAGTGGAAGTAACTTGCCCTCCGTTGCAATCATTTTTAAGGTCAGCAATTAGCAGAACTCTATTTTTAAACATTCCTTCTAGTTTTAAAGGTTAAAAGGAAAAACAAAATCCCTTTAACCAACAAGTCAGCCACCAGTGACCAGAAACAATGAAGTGACCAGCAAAAAAGAAATACGGTATCTTGAGTCACACTCATTTTAAGTACCTTTACTTGACTCTTGAAAGGTTTATATTTCTGTGTGTCTCGAATCTTCTTTTTTGGATGATCAAGAAACAGTACCTAGAAAAAGAAAATATAATGATAATCATTTTCATTTTTGGTTTATAGTAGCAGAACCCCCTCCCCCCGCCACCTTTTACAAGTAACATCTTTGTGTGTGTGTGACATAGTCTTGCTCTGTCACCCAGGCGGGAATGCAGTGGCTCAATCTTGGCTGACTGCAACCTCCGCCTCCAGGTTTCAAGTGATTCTCCTGCCTCAGCCTCCTGAGTAGCTGGGATTACGAGTGCCCGCCACCACGCCTGGCTGATGTCTGTTATTTTTCAATAGAGACAGGGTTTTGCCAACATATGTTGGCCAGGCTGGTCTCGGAACTCCTGACCTCAGGTGACCCACCTGACTCGGCCTCCCAAAGTGGTGGGACTACAGGTGTGAGCCACCGTGGCTGCCCTGCAAGTAACATCTTGTAGGGAATCCAAGCATGTCACACACACACACGGAAATGAGGCATTGATACGAACTTAAACTCCATGAGGAAATTTATCACACTGACTTAAGCATCATGATGCCCAACAGTCAGAGACAAAAACAAAATCTTGAAATCAAGGAAGAAGGAGAAAAACAGTCAACAATTAACCAGCAACCAACTTTTTCCTATATTATACTTGTATCGTGAGTTGGTTCTGCACATCAGGAAGTTGGAAATAACACATTATAACAGCTCATCTTGCAATCTTAGCATGCAATCTTTTTTTTTTTTTTTTGAGACAAGAGTCTCGCTCTGTCGCCCAGGCTGGAGTGCAGTGGCGCGATCTCGGCTCACTGCAAGCACCGCCTCCTGGGTTCACGCCATTCTCCTGCCTCAGCCTCCCGAGTAGCTGGGACTACAGGCGCCCGCCACCATGCCTGGCTAATTTTTTGTATTTTTTAGTAGAGACGGGGTTTCACCATGTTAGCCAGGATGGTCTTGATCTTCTGACCTCATGATCTTCCCGCCTCAGCCTCCCAAAGTGCTGGGATTACAGGCGTGAGCCACCGCACCCAGCCTCTTTTTTTTTTTTGATAGGCTCTCACTCTGTCACCTGGGCTTCAGTGCTATGGGGTAATCATGGCTCCCTGCAGCCTTGACCTCCTGGGCTCAACTGATCCTTCCACCCCAGCCTCCTGAGTAGCTGGGGCAATAGGCACACGCCACCACACCTGGCTAATTTAAAAATTTTTTACAGAGATGGGGTCTCCCTATGTTACTCAGGCTGGTCTCTAACTCCTGGCCTCAAGCAATCCTCCAGCCTCAGCCTCCCAAAAACCTGCGATTACAGACATGAGCCACTGTGTCTGGTCCTTAGCATAATCTTCAAGAAAGACTTAAACATGTGTTGCACAAGTTACCAGGGATGGAGCCAGAGTCAGGAGGGAAGGACAAGTTACCACAGTGGCAGTCTCTGAGGGGATATGACAGGAGCACACAAGACTTTCTGTGAGGATATTGCCCGGGTGGTTCTCATCTCAGTTTCACCCTCTATAAACAAGCATGAACACCTCTGGCATCTTTAATGGATTCAAGAGATCTCTATAGTGCCATAACGGGAGCACCACAGCAGAGGCTGCTGCTTGACCATTAGCATCTCTGCCACTTCCTTCTGAACGGCTTCAAGTTCCTCACCACACCCAAGTGCTTCAAGCCGGTGCGCAGAGGTGAGAACTTAAGAAGTATCTCTCCCATCTAGCAGACTGGCCTCCCCACTGTTCCCACTGTGTCCTTTAAACCAACATCCAGGCATTTGCCCATAAACCCAAAGTGACCCCCACCCTGTTCTCCTGTAAATACACGCATAGTCGCTCTGCCTGACTCTTTGTTCCTGCCTCGGATGATCAGGGGATGGCGGGCTGCCCTCCCCACCCATGAGACCTGCCCTGCCCAGGGTCTGTGTATGTCTTTAAACTTGTTTCCCACAGTGCTGGGGTCTGAATTTGCACCTTCCATCTGAACAGCCAAGGGCTGCCCCAGGCGGGATTTTCCTCGGGATGCCAGGAAGAAGGCAAAGGCAAGCTCCCAGGGCCAGGGTGACGGTCAGGCAGGCATAACCTGAACACGGGCCACAGGGCATCTGCCAGGATAAACTAGTTTCCTGCAGAGGGACCCTGGTCATGGATAGGACAACTGGGCATTAGGCCCTCCTTCAGGTAAAAGAGGTATCAGCACCTTCATTTCTTGTTAGGGTGGGATTGCCAGCTGCTCTGGTACGGGAACCCCAGTTTTGCTGGGGGCTCTCAAAACAAGAGCCTCGCATGGTTCCTAAAACACAGTAAGAACTCAGCACGTGGTATCTGATATTATTACCAAAGTATTCCTGACACAGGGCACAAACCCAACCATTTTAAAAAACTCCACAACACAGCACAAGGGGGTGAGTGAAACACACACGGAGCAGGGGCAGGCCGAGTCCCCAGGAGGGAACCCAGTACCTTCAGGTCATTATGCAGAGCGTGTCCCACTAGAATTCTGCCCTTCAGCATCTCTGCCACTTCCTTCTGGACAACTTCAAGCTGTTCTCCTGGAAAATCAACACAAAGAAGCGGTTTTTTGCAACACATACATCACCATCATTCTTAGAGGAGGCAGCCCCGCTCCCACCTCTGGCCAGCCCTCAGACAAAGGGTCAGGCCAGCAATGCCACTGTGGAGGGTGACTCGAAGCCACCACACCCACCCACCCCCCTGGGAGAAGTGCCTTGCGGGCCCCTGGCAGGGGTGGCTGCGAGGACCACCTCTGAGGAGAGGAATAAAGTGCTCCTCACAGTCTGCAAAGTCGGCTCGTGGCTGGAGGAGACCATATGTTGAGTGTAGGCACTGAGAAACTTTTAGAGCTGCCTGGCAGCGCGGTTCTGCCTATTCAACCTCATAATTTACTTGGCAATTTTCCTAATGGAAATAAAAACAAAACTGCCCCCACAAAAACGGGCAGAGATGTGTTGCCCTAGGCCCTGGGTTCCAGAGGCAGCTCTGCCTGCTTTTGGGGACCACCCCACCACCAATCCCACCTGTACCTCCCAAACAGGGCTTACTAGACCAAGGGTGGCCTGAGCCAAGCAGGACCAGCTAATTTTTTAAAAACATCTTTTAGAAGGCCAGGCGCGGTGGCTCATGCCTGTAATCCCAGCACTTTGGGAGGCCGAGGCGGGCAGATTACCTGAGGTTGGGAGTTCAAGACCAGCCTGACCAACATGAAGAAACCCTGTCTCTAGTAAATACAAAATTGGTAGGGCGTGGTGGCACATGCCTGTAATTCCAGCTACTCAGGAAGCTGAGGCAGGAGAATCGCTTGAACCCAGGAGGCAGAGGTTGCAGTGAGCCGAGATTATATACTATTGCATTTCAGCCTGGGCAACAACAGCAAAACTCCATCTCAAAAAAAAAAAAAAAAAAGGCTGGGTGCGGTGGCTCAAGCCTGTAATCCCAGCACTTTGGGAGGCCGAGACAGGTGGATCACGAGGTCAGAAGATCGAGACCATCCTGGCTAACACGGTGAAACCCCATCTCTACTAAAAAAATACAAAAAACTAGCCAGGCGAGGTGGAGGGCGCCTGTAGTCCCAGCTACTCAGGAGGCTGAGGCAGGAGAATGGCGTGAACCCGGGAGGCGGAGCTTGCAGTGAGCTGAGATCCGGCCACTGTACTCCAGCCTGGGCGACAGAACGAGACTCCGTCTCAAAAAAAAAAAAAAATTTTTTTAGAAACAAGGTCTCGCCATGTCATCCAGGCTGGACTTGAATTCCTGGGCTCAAGCAATCCTCCCTTCTTGGGCTCCTGAGTAGCTGAGACTACAGGCACGAGCCACCATGCCCGGCTATTGGCCTGGTCTTCAAGTCAGTGGACAGGAGGCAATGAAGTGCAAGGCAGAAATGGGTGTAAAGCCGTCTAAGGATGCCCTTTGTATTTGAAACCCCATCGCCCCAAGAGGAGACAAGACGCATCGAAACTAGCTACAGTGAGTGTCTCAGAAGCAAAAGGGAACAAAAGGGAGAAAATGCATCCAGTTACAACTTTCCCTTCTAAGTTCCTGAGCTGCAGATGACATACCCTGCTTGAGGTTCTCAGGCCGAATCCCACTGACCGCTGTCCTATAGTCCGTCACGGGCTCGGTTGGTTTGACGTACTTATCATAAACGCACTTCCCATACTGGTTCACGATGGACACACGGGCGGCCACGCTGTCCTCCCCCTTAGGGCCCACGCCCACCATCTCACAGTCCAAGGCTAAGGCTCTTGTCAGGCTGAAGGGTAACCAAAGGCTCTAGTTTAATAAACATGGCAGGACACAGGGCTCCAGGTCAGAGCCCCAGGGATCCACGGACTAAGTGTCAGCAAGCTCTCTGCCCCGCACTCATTTGCACCCACGTGACAAGCTCTGTGTGGTCCTGGTTCTTAGCAGGACCCTGGGAGGTGCTTGCTCCATTCACCTCGGGGAGACGAAAGTATCCTCTTCCTTGAAGAAGCCCCGCCCTCTACGGCTAAGCATCCCCAGCAGAGCCCGCTCCCTGAGACCAGCGTACCCGCCGAAGGCCTGCTCTTTCACGAGGCTGAGGCTGACGCTGCCCTCGCTCCGACCCAACTGTTTCCTCGCTATCTTGGCCGCCTCTGGACCTATGGCAGCTTCGATATCCGCCGGGTCCACGTCGTCAAACCAGATGTCTTCCCTAAAAGGCAAAGGTAACAAGCTGATCACCTGAAGTGCAACTGGCGGGGCGGGGCTGTGCGGCTGACTGTGCAGGTGAGTGGGGTGATGGCACGGTCTGCCTCTCCCACAGGCTGGCCCCAGACACCCCGACCGCTGGCCCTGCTGCTTCTGCTATTTTGATTATCTTGACATTTTCCTTTTTTTTTTTTTTTTTTTTGAGATGGAGTCTCACTGTGTCACCCAGCCTGGAGTGCAATGGCACGATCTTGGCTCACTGCAACTTTTGCCTCCCAGGTTCAAGCAACTCTCTTGCCTCAGTCTCCCTAGTAGCTGGGATTACAGGCGCCCACTACCACGCTTGGCTAATTTTTTGTATTTTTAGTAGATATGGGGTTTTATCATGTTGGCCAGGCTGGTCTTGAACTCCTGACCTCCAGTGATCCGCCCGCCTCGGCCTCCCAAAGAGCTGGGATTACAGGTGTGAGCCACAGCGCCCGGCCTCATCTCTTTTCTAATTAAAAAATACCCTCATTATTTAAGATTTAGGAACACAGACAAGCACAAAGAATATAAAACAGAAACATATAACCCACCGCCCAGGTGTAATGAGTGCTAGCATTTTAATTATGAAAGGAACAGGTTCATTATCAAACACTTAGGAAACACAGACAGACACAATGCCTGTAAGATGGAAACACAGAACCCTTTGCCCTCCATACTCGGATGCTCACGCAGGTACATAACACCTGCCTGCGGAATCTGTCTCTTAGGCTAAGGTTAAATGTCATTTCCTTAGAAAAGCCCTTCCTGGACCCACTGAATGGACACGTCCCCCGTGTCCCAGGCTCCCAACACCTTCTCCTCACCAGATTTATCCTGACCACACTTAGGCAACAGCTGTGGTTACAGTCTGTCTACTGCACTTGACAATAAGCCTCAAGAGGAAGGAGCGGGCCCGCCTCACTGAACTCTATCCCAGACAGCCTGCCTAGCACAACACAGGGAGGCTCCCAAATGGCTCCTTCCTCAGCCGTCAGCGACCATGTCCTGAACACCCAGGTGACATGAAGCCAGCTGTGACTTACGAACACGTCACCTCCAGTTGAACCATTCAGAGATAGCCACTGACTCCTGGTCCACCCCACATGGGTGGCCAGCACAGGGTTTATTCTTTTAACTTGTATTTTTTGAGTCTCGCTCCATCACTCAGGCTGGAGGCAGAAGTGCAATCACAGCTCACTGCAGCCTCGACCTCCTGGGATCAAGTGATCCTCCCACCTTGGCCTCCTGAGGAGCTGCCACCACACCTGGCTCCATCACAGGGTTGAAGTAATCACCAGGCACTGAGCCAAGAAAGCCAACCTCGCAATCTCCTTGTGACGCCACCAGGACTAACACAAGGCACAGAGGACGTCAGAAACTTGCCCCAAGCCACCCAACTGGCGAGGAGCAGGGACAGGCCTCAGAGTCGGGTCTTTCTGGCTTCAGCATGCTTTCCTTCCACACACGTGTACTGGCACCCACTAAATGCTGAGCTCTGCTCAACGCTTGGAAGAAGCAGGCCCTGCCTTATCACGCCCACGCTCTAGGGGAATACAAGTAACAGCAAGCAAACAAGGAACAGACGACACTAGGGTAAGGTGATGGAGAGACTGCGGTGAGGCCACCAGCCTCCATAAGGCAGCAGGCCTTGGTGAAGTCGCTGCGCCTCGGTTCTCAGTGCTGAGGTGGCTGATACGTACTCGGTGGGTGGGGCCGGGGCTGCCTCCTTAGCTTTCCGCTTCTTGTGCTTGACGTCCCCCCGTTCCGGAACAATATCACTATTCGTCCTTTCCTTGGTTCCTTTCTTACTGTGCTCTGCTCTGCTGGCCTTGCTGCGAGGCACTGGCGCCTTCCTGTCCATCTTGGAGCCTGAAGGAACAGAGCCCCTGCTGGCCTCTTGCTCTTTTCCTGCCGGCATCTCCTCTCCCTTCACTTGAGGTGAGGTCTCTTTTTTGTTCTGCTGGATAATTTTGGGCTTCTTTTTGGAACCCATCTGAGAGATGACAAGAGGCTTTTCTGGGGTCTGAGATTTCTGTTTCAGCAGCCACTGGGACCCAAAATAAAATACATGCTACATTTGAATTTGGAAATTACACACAGCAGATTGGAAAAAAAACTTACGTGTGTATGCATATACACACATAGACACCAATCACGTCTATACAATTCCCATCCGCATCACTGGAATTCATTTTTAACGGTTTGGAAAAAGCTTTTTCATTCTCATGAGTCACTTGTGGTGAAATGCTGTTTCTTTGCTTATCTTATTATAATGCATTTTACGCCTGCTCCTTCAGGCATACAAAATTTCAAACTCATTCCACACCTTAGGGACCTGTTGAGTGGCTGGACACCGCAGACCACTTCCCTTTTTAGTTTATCTAGAAAGAATTTTGGAGTTAACTTCCCTCACAGCTTGGGCCAACACCCCGCTACACAGAAATCACCTTTTTTTTTTTTTTTTTTAATAAGATTCCCTGGTTTGCTACTGCTGTGAAGGTCTCAGGGAGGTGGGGGTGTGATAAACAAAAAGAAAAGCTTCTGTCCAGCTGGAGTGGCTGAAGAACTGCTGGCAGCCACAGCTTGGCCGTCACCCAAGGAGAGGCTCCTGCGGTCTTAGAGCCCAGCTTCCTCCCTGTGTTCAAATCCCCAGCTGCAGTGGGCTCCACCACAGTGCGATGATGAGGCGGGTGTTACTCACCTGTTCCCGTGATAGGTAAAGAACTGAAGGGCTGACTTTCTTGGATAAATTAGAAAAACTCAAAAGTTTCCCTACAGCAAACATCCCTTCCATTCACTGATTTTGCTTTTCTTTCTTCGGAGAAGAGTTGGTGTTCAAGAAATCCCACAGAACCCTGAGGCTGCCCATGGGAATTTGACTGGTCCCGTGTGTCAAGACAGGAAAATCATTCGGAAAGCCTGCACTGAGATATCGTGCAGAGTATTAGGAGGTTCAAGACGCATTCAGGGAGGCTGAGGTGGGAGGACGGCTTGAACCAGGAGTTGAAGACCAGCCTGGGTAACAAAGTGAAACCCCATCTGTATTAGCTCATTGTGCATTGCTAGAAAGGAATACCTGTGTTTGGTAATCTATAAAGAAAACGGGTTTATTTAGCTCATGGTTTTGCAGGATGTACAAGAAGCATGGTGCCAGCATCTGCTTCTGGTGAGGCCGCAGGAAGCTTCCCATCATGGTGTAAGGTGAAGGGGGAGCAGGTGTGTCGCATGGCGAGAGAGCAAGAAAGGTGCTAGGCTCTTTTAAAACAACCAGCCCTCGAATGAACTAGCAGAGTGAGAATTTACTCATTACTGAGGGCAGAGCACCAAGTCATTCATGAGGGATCTGCCCTCATGACCCAATACCACCTACGGGCCCCATCTCGAACCCTGGGGATCACATCTCTTTTTTGAAAAACTACTTTTTACTTTTTTTAGAGACGGAATCTCACCATGTTGCTCAGGCTGGACTTGAACTCCTGAACTCAAGTGATCCTCCTGCCTGGGCCTCCCAAAGTGCTGGGATTACAGATGTGGGCTACTCGGGAGGCTGAGGCAGGAGAATCACTGGAGCCCAGGCAGCAGTGAGCTACGATCCTAACAGTAGCTTCAAGGGAGCTCCAAGGGATGTGGTAAGAATGTATGAGTGACACACGCGGAAGAGTGTCTGGGAGAGAGCAGGCAACCTCTAGAGAAGCGCCAGTCACTAGAGAGACAGCAGGTACAACACAGGCTTAAAGCATGGACTCCAGAGTCAGCCACCTGGTTCCCAGCCGCAATCTTAGACGATCTATTTAACCTTTTCCAGCCTAATTCCTCATCTGTGCAATAGACATGATGAGAGTGTACACCTCACAGTCTTATTGTGGGGATTGCAACACACATGGCACAGAGCACATGGCAGAGTGCACATTTTAGGAGCTCAATTAATATTTATTTCAAGACCATAAGTGTTGAGGCCGGGCGCGGTGGCTCAAGCCTGTAATCCCAGCACTTTGGGAGGCCGAGACAGGCGGATCACGACGTCAGCAGATCGAGACCATCCTGGCTAACACAGTGAAACCCCGTCTCTCCTAAAAAATATAAAAAAACTAGCCGGGCGAGGTAGCGGGCGCCTGTAGTCCCAGCTACTCGGGAGGCTGAGGCAGGAGAATGGCGTAAACCCGGGAGGCGGAGCTTGCAGTGAGTCGAGATCCGGCCACTGCACTCCAGCCTGGGCCACACAGCCAGACTCCGTCTCAAAAAAAAAAAAAAAAAAAAAAAAAAAAAAAGACCGTTAAGTGTTGCTAGAACCCTCTCTATCACATGTCTGCGATCTGCTTTTCACCTCTACACAGGGATCTTTTTTCTCCGTCTTGCTACACAGACCAGTGCGTTCTTTTGTTGTTGTTGTTTGAGATGGAGTCTCGCTCTGTCGCCCAGGCTGGAGTGCTGTGGCACATTCTCCGCTCACTGCACCTCTGCCTCCCCGGTTCAAGTGATTCTCCTGTCTCAGCCTCCCTAGTAGCTGGGACTATAGGCGCGCGCCACCACGCCCAGCTAATTTTTTTGTATTTTTAGTAGAGACAGGGTTTCACCATGTTGGCCAGGCTAGTCTTTAACTCCTGACCTCAGGTGATCCGCCCCCCTCGGCCTCCCAAAGTGCTGGGATTACAGGCGTGAGCCACCGAGCCCAGCCACAAGTATGTTCTTTTCACTGTCCTTGGGTGGTTCATCTGGTTTCAGGATTTTTTTTTTTTTTTTTTGAGACGGAGTTTCACTCTGTCGCCCAGGCTGGAGTACAGTGGCATGATCTCGACTTACTACAGCCTCTGCCTCCCGGGTTCAAGCGATTCTTCTGCCTAAGCCTCCCCGAGTTGCTGCGCTGGCACGCGCCATCACACCAAGCTAATATTTTTTGTATTTGTTTAGTAGACATGGGTTTTCACCATGTTGGCCAGGCTGGTCTCGAACTCTTGACCTCAGGGGATCCGCCCGCCTCGGCCTTCCAAAGTGCTGGGATTACAGGCGTGAGGCCCCGCGCCCGCACTGCTTTCGGGATTTTAAGCTAAATTTCTCTTTGTAAAACCTATTCCAGTTAGTTCATTATGCAAAAGGTACAAGGGTTTATCTCTGCTTTTTTTGTACTTGAAATAATTCATCAATTTTATGCAAACAAGTTCGAGACCTCCCTCAACAGGCCACCTTTCTTGTGAAAAGATGTTTACAAGATTTCGATGCAAATCTGCCTTTACAGGTCCTTTCTGGGGCTACCCAAGTCTTTCCCTCCGTCGCGTCCTGCGGCAATGAGCTGCGCCGCGCTCCGCCCGGGTCCCCTCAAGCCTCACCTCTTGCAGCGCCTTCCAGTTTTGAGAAAAGTCTTCTGGCGCCTTTGGAGGTCGCACCACAACACTGGGGCCGCTTCCCGGCTTCTTGCTTACTTCCTGCGCCTTGCTTTTCCAAAACCTTTTTTTCTTCTTGTTTTTCTTCCGAGTGAGCGTCTTGACAGGACCCGGCTTAGCCACCGGGCTGCTGCGGGCGCCCTTGGAGGCGGGGACCTTCGCCTTCACCATCCTGCTGCGGTCCAGCGCCTGGGCCGGCGGCCACCCGAGACCCCGGCCTCCCCGGGCCCGGCGCCGCGGCAGCACGAGGACCTGCCCAGGCCAGGCCGAAACACACTCACGGCAGCGACCCAGCCCAGGAAAAGACTCCGGAAGTGACCCCGCACGCGTCCAGCATGCCTCAGCGCGCACGCTCCAGTTCCCGGAAGTGCTCGTCTCTCCGCAACCGGCTGGAAACCCGGCCCCCGCCCCTGGTTCCGCGCAGCCTGGGCGGTTCGCCCGCACCGGACTTGGGCCGCCGTCTTAGCCAGCGGCTTCCGGGGTCATCGACGTCGAGTTTGATTGGCCAAGCCGAGGACCTCCCCAAGATCCGGGATGGGGATGAGCGATGCGGACGCCACAAGGGAACTGGTGGGCCGCTGTGTGTGTGGCACCGGGTGGGGCAGCAGCGCGTGGGGGCACTGGGCGGTCGGGCTAGTGAGAGCCGGGCTTGGTCCCTGGACTGCGTCCTGGACTCTCGGGCCTTTCCCGCCTTGGCCTGCTCCACGCTTAGCCTCACAGCGGCTCATCTTCTATATACAGTGGGGAAATTGAGGCCCAGGCACGGGGAGGAGTTCCCGCCAGTTTACTGTGTAGCAGGAGGAGCCGCAGACAAGAACCCCTCAGACACTGAATTGTAGAAGGAAAGGGCTTTATTTAGCTGGGAGCATCTGCAGACTCAGGTCTCCAAAAACCGAGCTCCCCGAGTGTGCAATTCCTGTCCCTTTTAAGGGCTTACAACTCTAAGGGGGTCCGTGTGAGAGGGTCGTGATGATTGAGCAAGCAGGGGGCCCGTGACTCGGGGCTGCATGCACCGGTAATCAGAAAGCAACAGAACCGGACAAGGATTTTCACAATGCTTTTCCATACGTCTGAAATCTATAGATAACATAACCAGTTAGGTCAGGGGTCGATCTTTAACCAGGCCCAGGGCACAGCGCCAGGCTGTCTGCATGTGGATTTTATTTCTACCTTTTAGTTTTTACTTCTTCTTTCTTTGGAAGCAGAAATTGGGCATAAGACAATATGAGGGGTGGTCTCCTCCCTTAACCTCTGTCTCCTGGGTTCAAGTGATTCCCCTGCCTCAGCCTCCTGAGTAGCTGGGATTACAGGTGCACGCTACCATGCTCTGCTCATTTTTGTATTTTTAGTAGACCTGGGGTTTCGCCATGTTGGCCAGGCTGTCTCAAACTCCTGACCTCAAGTGATCCATCTGCCTTGGCCTCCCAAAGTGCTAGTATTACAGGTGTGAGCCACTCTGCTCAGCTGGGAGTGGATAGATTTGATGTGCATGTGTAACAGGCAAAGGTTGATGGAGTAACAGGGAAGTGAGGCTCCTAGGATTTTGGTCTGAGCAACTGGGTGTGGCCATTTATCATCTCAATAAATGTCTGCTGGAGGCAGGGTGAAGTATGGGAGTGGAGCCATGAGCTCCTTTTCACACTTGCTGAGTTTGAATGGGCAGTTCACCAACAGAGATGTCTAATCAGCAGCAGGATCTAAGATTCCTAAGCTTAGGGAAGGGTCAGTGCTGGAGATGTAGTTTGGAAATTGTCAGCATATAATTAGTGTTGAAACCATGAGCCTGGGTTAGTTCATTCAAGGAGAGAGTACCAATATAGGGAGTGAAGGGCTAAGGCCAGATAACAGGTGCTTGGGGCTCTCCAGGGGCGAAGCAGCAGAGGAGGCTGAGGGGGAGCAGTCAATGTTGTGGCAGGAGAGGTGGATGTGAGTGGCATTAGAGAATCCAGGGGGAGAATAAACCACATCAGATGCTGCTGAGAGGCTGAGAAAGATGAGTACAGAGAGATGGGAACCAGATACGGCACTGAGATTGTCAACAAGTCCACTGAAAAGGGTTTTCTTTTTCTTTTTTTCTTTTTTTTTGAGACGGAGTCTTGCTCTGCTACCCAGGCTGGAGTGCAGTGGTGTGGTATCAGTTCACCACAATCTCCACCTCCTGGGTTCAAGCAATTCTTCTGCCTTAGCCTCCCGAGTAGCTGGGACTACAGGTGCATGCCACCATGCCTGGCTAATTTTTGTATTTTTTTTTGAGACGAAGTTTTGCTCTTGTCACCCAGGCTGGGGTGCAATGGTGCAATCTCGGCTCACCGCAACCTCCACCTCCCGGGTTCAAGTGACTTTTCTGCCTCAGCCTCCCAAGTAGCTGGGATTATAGGCATGTGCCATCATGCCCGAATAATTTTGTACTTTTAGTAGATATCGGATTTCTCCATGTTGGCCAGGCTGGTCTCAATCTCCAGACCTCAGGTGATCCACCTGCCTAGGCCTCCCAAAGTGTTGGGATTACAGGCGTGAGCCACCACACCTGGCCTAATTTTTGTATTTTTAGTAGAGATGGGGTTTCACTATGCTGGCCAGGCTGATCTCAAACTCCTGACCTTGTGATCCGCCTGCCTCAGCCTCCCAAAGTGCTGGGATTACAGGCATGAGCCACCGCACCCGGCCCGGGTTTTCTTTTTAAAAAAGGAAAAAAAGTTTGTTCCAGCAGTTTACAAACCAGGGTGATGCAGCCTTCTGTACAAAGGTGCGTTCCAGAGAACAAAGAGAACAAAGAAAGAGGTTGTCTTTTGTAGAGAACTTCTGCTCAGGTTCCCACTTTGGTCCACTTAAGCAAATGAGGAAGGCACACTTGCTTAGTTCTGACTGGTTAATACTTGCTGAGCTCAGATTGGTCAATGTGGGTCACAGTCGACCGGTCGATTCTGGTGGCATAAATAGGAACAGACAGCTATGAAACCATCCCAGAGGTAAGCGAGAGTGGGGGCTTTCCAGCAATGCAGAATGTGTGTGTGACCCTAGTCAGCAAATGGCTTCTAGGTCCTACTTTGAATTTAGACCCAGTTGGTGACTTGTGAACCATCATGAAGCATTGGCTCTTTCAGGGTTCACAAAGTTATTGGTGACCTTGTAAAGATTAATTTCAGTGGGATGTGGGAATTGGAGGCAAGGAAGTGGAGATAGCTACTGAAAATAATGTTTCCAAGTTCTTAAAGAAAGCCAGAAACAGGGCTATGGTGGGAGGTCAGTGCGGGTCAAGGGAAGGTTGTTGATTGTAAGCAAGAGACACCAGAGTGCCTGGGTGTGGTGGGGCTCATGCCTGTCATCCCAGCACTTTGGGAGGCCGAGGCGGTCAGCTCACCTGAGGTTAGGAGTTTGAGACCAGCTTGGCCAACATGGCGAAACTCCACCTCTACTAAATATGCAATAACTAGCCAGGCGTGGTGGCGGGCACCTGTAATCCCAGCCACGAGGGAGGCTGAGGCAGGAGAATCACTTGAACCTGGGTGGCGGAGGCTGCAGTGAGCCGAGATCGTGCCAGTGCACTCCAGCCTGGGTGACACAGCAAGACTCTGTCTCAAAAAACAAAAACCAGAAAAGAGACAGCAGAGTCATGTATGCTGATGGGGTGAGCCAGGTACCAGGATCTCGACATCTAAGCACGCCCCCTTCTCCAAGAGGCTCCTTACCTTCCTGCATAGAAGCACACCCTCCCCTCCAGCCCCCCATTCCTTTATTCTGCTGTATTTTTCTCCGTGACACTTACCACCTTTGAACAGACTACATACACAACACGTGTTTGTCTAGCAACTGTGCTGTCTGGCTCTCTTTCCTAGAATTTAAGCTGTGAGAGGCTGACGCTGCTGTCTGCCTGGCTCGTGGCTGCTTTCCTGGTGTCTAGCACAGAGCCTGGCCTGTTTCAGGGGCTCAGTGAAACATTTGTTGGCTGAAGGAATGAATGAATGGCTCTAGCAGAGGGGCAGAAACGAACGATGCAGGAGAAGAGAGCTGGGAAGGGATCCAGAGCCAGGGCCTGGCAGGGAGTGTAGGTGCGTCCTCCCTGATTGCAGAGGAGGAGAGAGGCTGCACTTTGAGGGGTGGAAACACAAGGTGAATCCCCCTGATGGTCATCAGCTTGTGCGGCTGTGTGGGTGTGAGGGGTGTAAAAGAGTGGTTTGGAGCATGTGAAGAGAGCCTTCCAGGTGGTGAGGGGGATTGCCAGGCGGTTTGTGATAATGTGGAGATCTGGCGCCATGCAGCCTGCTTCTGCGACTCTCCCCATCAGGCACAGGCACAGAGTAGGCGGTGAGTTGAGCCAGAACCGCGATGTCTTTGGCACAGCCTTTCATCTGTCAGATGGGAGCGGGGACCCCAGAGAGAGAGCCAGCCCAAGGTCCTGGCATCCTCGTGAACCGCCGTCTGCGGGTTTCTGGTCCAGTGTCCCTTCTAGATAGATGGCTAGGCCTCCTCTGAGGAGGTGGGCGTGCACATCCGGAGAGCTCTCTGGAGTGCAGGACTGGGCTGCGGGGTACCCTGAACTGCAGCCATCTTAGAGCAAGGTCCAGGCTGCAGCAGGAGGAGCTGCAGGCCGCCCACCCTAGCCACGGCCCCTGCCCTGGCAGGAAGCTTCCAAGAGTAAACACTGCCTAATCGTCCCGCCCAGCGAGCAGGCCTGTCCAGTCCACGCTGGCCGGATTCCTAGTCACCAAGGCCCCCTCTCACTCTGCTCCACTCTGCAGTGGAGTGGGCTCTCCTGAGGATGCACCAGCATCACCCCCGGGCAAGATGCCCTTCCCTCTGCGTGGCCGGAATCCTTGCCTGTGGCTTTCTCCTGGGCTGCTGGGGACCTTCCCATTTCCAGCAGGTGGGCGCATTTGCAGCAGCGGGGGTATTCTGGGAGCCTCTGGGAGCCTCTCGGTGGGGTATTCTGAGCTACCTGGGGCAAGGGGAGTGCCAAACAGCTGACTACATCAGCTTTGGAGTTTGCACTGGGCAGGGAAGTCTGCACTTGGGGTTTTGGGGGATGAAGTGTGCTCACTGAAGAGGGAGTCGGTGTCTCAGTATGACCTGCTCATCCAGTGAAGCTGAACAGACAGATACTAGTTTGTCCCAAACTATGTGGGTTGCTCTTCTCTGCCTCTCCCTTCCTCTCCCGCTCCCTGTCTCTGATTTCCCCCTCTCCTTCTTGGTTGGCCTCACCCACCTCCTGCTTCCGGTCTCTTTCTTCATCTGTCTCTTTTTCTTCCTTCCTTCCTTCCTTCCTTCCTTCCTTCCTTCCTTCCTTCCTTCCTTCCTTCCTTCCTTCCTTCCTTCCTTCC